ATTCAATTCCCCTCTTGTTCTCTTAATGAATTTCCTGCATGAAGGAAAAAGGTGGGACAAGCTGTAAGAGCTCAGGGGAGACCTGTGAATAGAAGATGATAATGTCTGGACCCCCTGCAAATTTCTGGGAATCTAGCAGGGCAATTGTGCCATAAGAGCCTTGCTTGCATCCACCCAGCTGCTTCAGGGGAAAATTTCTCGCCCAGAGCAAGGCTCCTTTTGAAAAGGAGAGGCTTTTTCCCAACAATGGGCTAAGAAATGGGATTTTGATGAGGAAAGGGCTGTTGTGATTCTGACCCAAATAGGAGTATGTGGCAAGTGATTTCTTCAGACCATGGTTGATTCCCAATTTCTGAAAATATAAAGTCCAGCTGTTACTTAGAATTATCTTTTATTCATGGACAAGATGTGCAGCTTCCTTAGTAAGTGGAAAACAGAAGTTTAGATGTGTAGACAGTTCATACACATACCTAGAGACAATTAGATGGTATAATGGGTTTTTCAAAAGGTCAACAGAAACCAAAAGAGGTGGCTTCATCTAGCAATTGGAGGAAATGACTTAATCTAGAATCTTTATGTCTGGCAAGCTACTAGCACTGCAGGGACAAACCAAAGATGCTAGGATTATTACCATTTGGCTTCTTTCTTAAATTGAAACTGGTCATAATTTTAACTCTGTGTACTGGTTTTTTAAAACCTCTTTCTCTTTGTTGAAATGATCTAAATGAGAGGTCTCCAACCTTTCTGGATCCATGGGCACATTTAGGAATTTCAGCAACTGCTGTGGGCACCACTGTAAAATGCCTAATCAACACATCACTACTTTGTTGTCTACAGTCACATTAATGGATCTTAGGCTGCATTTTATTTCACAAAAACTTTTGTTTGTGCTGTAAGGGATTGTTAAACTCTTTGGCTAATTGTTGGGGTGCAATTCAGCTAATGCTTCTCTTAAACATATGCTTTGGCAATACTCAGTAGTTGCTTCTTTGGGGGGGTTATTAAACAGACACATTTTGTACTGGAACAGACTTTAATATTCACTGATGTACATGCTCTTTTACATCATTAACCTGCTTCATGGAAATTAACAAAAGGAAGGGAAAACAGAATGAACAGATACTATATAGAAGCCAACTTGAAATGGATACTTATTTGGATAGTTGGTCAGCTTTTTGGAAGCCTACACATAATTGCTAGAAAGTTGTAAGAATTTCATACATACACATGAACATATATTTTTAAAAAACAGGAAAAAATTGGTTCCCATAAGCACTATGTTGGGACTTCTGCTCTAAACTGGTCTTGCACACATTTTTGGAATAAGCCCACTTGCTTAGATTCCAGTGCAGCATTTGTGGTTGGAAGATGCATGCTTATTGGATAAGCCGAGAAGATCTTGCATTCAGATAAATCAGGAATTATAGCTCTGTCTGAAGCATACACCTTCCTAAGCAATTTCCCCAAAGGACAATCCATGCTTTGGAGCAAAGATCATCTATAGGGTTTTGCTGACAGTACTTGCCTTCTCCGGAAGAGGAGATGTTACGCCTGAACTCATGAGACCTTGTGGGGGGAAATGGTGGTGGAACTAGGTAATGTGAGCACACCTGTGGTTCAAGCCACTTTGAGCTCTAGGCATACCCCTAGATAGAAGGCTCCTAGCACTGCCCCTGAAAAGACATTGTGCAGCTATTCCATCTTTCCTTTCTTAATGGTTTTTCTATGGTAAAAGGAAAGATGGAAGGTGCAGCGGGAGAACACAAGGGGGTTATGAGTGGAGGACAATGTCATTTGGACACCCCCCCCCCGCCCCCAGTAAGATTCTCTGGATGAAGTCAGGTACTGGTATGTTAAAGGTTTCCTCTGGAAGCACAGGAGATTGTAGCCTGTCTGGGAATTATAGCAAGCGCAAAGGTGGCTTGTGATAAACTGTAGATCGTTATGAGGCTAGTTAGTCTCTTCTTCTTTGTTTGGTAATGTGGAGATAAGTAGCAGTATGAGCTAAACAGGCCATGAGGGCTGTGGCCAGTGCAGCCTCCCATGACCTGCTTTATAGGCACCAGGCTGGATGGATGGACTCTGCTCACAGAAGGTGACCTTGCGCCAGTTAGCAGGGGCAACGACTGTCTCTGAAGCATTTTTATGGGGTAGGTGGAAGGAGGCTGCCACAGGGAGGATGGGGCAGCCCAGTCTGCTTCCACCAGCCTGGTTCTGTGTGCTTCATCTGGATTGAGCTCACAGTGCCTGGCAGTTCAGGGCTGCCATGTGGTTTAGGGGAGGAGGAAGACCACTCACTCGCAGGTGGTTGTCTACCCATCTTAGTGCAAAGATGAAGTTCAGGGCTTGCCGCCAGCTTTCTTGTGTATAACTGTTATTCTTGTCCTTAGAGCTCAGCAGCTCAAATCCTCCCTCACTGGGTTGCTGTGTCACTTTTTCAGGTAAACCTACCACTGGATACAAGCAGAATCTAAGTTCTAATCCATTAATTAAAGTTGGGGAATAAGGGGAGAGACTAGTTCCACATCATGTACAGAAAGTTACTGCCATAAGAACAGTTTGAGTGATAGCTGATGGTTCTCAGTATAATACAGTATCTGAAAGTTAGAACTCGTTTATTCAGCTTTTCATTCCAAAACCAAATCAAGTATGAAAGTATCAAAATACCATTTCGAGTGCCAGAATTTGGTAGGGAAGAGAGAGATACATGTGAGAAATGAATAATGAGATACTAACCAAATAAGCACTTTTGCCATTCTGTTCAAGACATCATGCAGCGGCTGGAACTTGGAGTAAGGCACAAGCCTTGAATGTGGAAGGTTCCAGGTTTGATCTCCAGGTGCAACAGGATAAAACCCGGCCTGGGACTCTAGCAAAATGCTGCCTGTCACAAAACATTGCATTCAACGGGCCACTGGTGTGATTTAAGGCAGCTTCCCATATTCCATGATACATGTTTACAAGCATACGTGGGTTGCTGCGCACACCTTAGCACGTGGAAAGCGTGAGACCTCCTCTTACCATCTTGCTGCAACCCAAGAGGGCCAGGCCTGGAATGCACAGAAAGATGCTTGAAGGACAAGAGCCAGGGAAAGCGTTCCATATGCTCATCTCCTTTCCAGGCTAAATGGGGCTACGGAGGAGCCGTCCGTGCCTGAGCTCCATCTGCTGAATGGCGACAGTGCCTGCGGCATCTCCACTACTCCAGTGTGGTACCTATAAAGCAGGTCATGGGATATGGGAGGCTGCACTGGCCACAGCCCTCATGGCAGCAAGCAGCAGTCAGTCTGTCAAGCAGTTGTGAGTGGGGGGAGCCCCCCACCCCATGCTTTTTGTTGAGAGCAAACTGCATGTTGTCCAGGGCAATGCAGTTATACCCAGTGGTAGTTGGAGGGGCTAAATATTAATGTGGGGGAGGATCGGAGGTTGCTTACTTGCTTTACAAACTTTGCTGACCTCCCACCCGGGAAACCACTGGTGCATGCTATGAGGGGAGCGGAGAGATTCCTTAGCTTAGCCTTCCCAGCCTGGCAACCTCTGGATGTGTTGAACTATAACCACCATCGAGCACGGCCAGGATGATGGGGGTTGTAGTCCAAAACACACGGAGGGCACCAGGCTGAGGAAGGTGGCCTCATTCCTAGCAGTCTGCTTCTCGGTGTGGCTCACCCACCAAAATGTCCATAGGCTGTTCTCTTCCCTGGCTTAGGGATTCTGGCGCTCAGCCCAAGAAGCAGCACTAGGAACAAAGCCTCGCTGTTGCCAAACATCATTAAGCCTTGTTAAGGCGATGAGCTTTTACTTCCCTTGAATGCCTTCTGCAGCCCAATTAGGGCTTCCCGGGCTCACCTCCCGTGCTAGCCGCGCGGCGAGGGGTAGCTGGCGCTGGCCGGCGCAGTGCAGCGGGACCCGGGGCTTAGGCGCCGCCTGCGCATGTGCGGCGCCCGGGAGCGCGGGTGCAGCCCGCCGCTCGCCAGCCTGCCCTGCAGGGCCCACGTGGAGGAGGGCCCGCGACCCCGCAGCGGCCTCCCCGCGGCGACCAGAGCCAGGAACCGAGCAAGCGTTGTCCAGAGGCAGCAAAGCCAAGAGGCCGCTGTGAGCGCGCCGCACCTCTGGCCGTGAACTCGCTTCGTCAGTTTAGGCGGCTTTCTGTGCAAAATAAAGGACTTTCTCCATTGAGTTCCTGGCACATTAGTAAGATACAGAGTGGGAGAAGTACAGAGCTGCTAAGGAAAGCGAAAGCAAGTCAGGCACCACTATCCGGAGCTCCTTGAGGGCCAAAAGGAGATATTTTGCTGGCCAACGAGTAGCTCTTTCACACACACTGCCTCCCAGGCCATATTAGTGCCACCCCCTCAAAGTGGCCTTCCTCAACCTGGCATCTTCCAAATGCAAATGCATTGGACTACAACCACCAGTGTGGCTGCTGACTGGGGATTATGGGTGATGAAGTCCGACACATCTGGAAGTCACCAGGTTAAGCAAGGCTGCTTAACACATCCTGGCTGTTAGAACACATCCTGGCACATTGTTCAAAGATGCATTCCTTCCTCTAGTCCCCTAAAATTCTTTAGCTGAAAAGGATTGGCCCTTATCCCCTTCTTTCCCAAGCACACAGGATGACCATGGTACAGCTACTGAAGGGAAGAGAACTTGCATTATCAGTGCCTTCCCCCACCTCCCCTTTCTGCTATAAAAGAAATGTTACCCACACCACAAACTTGCTATTTCACTTTTAAGATGATTTAAAATGACAAATGGCTGAAACATTTCCTTAGCTTTGAAGAATTAACTCCAATAACAAGCTGCCACTCAAGCTAATCAAACTTCTCACTGCAACTCCAATATTTATCAGTGCGATAAATTTTGTGCTAAGATTGTACAATTGGGGATTCCAAAATGCAGTATACAAATCTCCCAGCATCCTGAATTTGCAGAATGTAACCTGAGAGTCACATGATATATTTCAAAGGAATTGGTGTCCAGAAACAAGCAACGCCTGCTTTGCACAATCACTTTATTATCATGATTACAAAAGTGCTGATCACTTGTTCTGGTTCTTAGGTCCCACAGGGTCACCACCCTCTGGAATGATGCTTCACACATGGCAGGAAGGCCTTCTCTGTGCCAGTGGGTGAGCAGGTGGGCAACAAAGCCAGCAGCACGAAGGGACAGGCAGAGGACACAACCCTCCCTTCGCCAGGCAAGGCCCAGGGTGGGCCGGATCCAGAGGCATAAGAAATGACAGCGAATCAGTGCTACAACAGGGTCTTGACATCACAGTACCGCAAGGCAACCCAGAGACTTGACAGCCTCCAGGGCTTCCTCCAACGCTCCCAAATGGCTCAGAGAAGAAGTTGGGCAGGCACAGCATAGAGACCCAGGTGGAAAATGGGCCTTACTCAAGGTGCCCGAGTAAACTGAGGGCCTCCTGCCTGGCAACCGGAGTCTGTCCCTCGGGCACAACATGGATTGTCCTAGGCTAACTGAAGTACGGCACTTCCAGGCACCCACCAAGTCCTCCCCCCTCCCCCCATGCCCTTCTCCCCTCTCACGCCCACAGTTAAAGAGGCAGCCACCCGGCTCATCTAGGTTACAGGAGAGACAGCACAAGGGACTAGAAAGGTCAGTCTGCCTGGGTTGCCTACCAGGCCTCTTGCTAGCTGGCCTGGCCTGGCCACAGAGGCTGGCTTTCTGCTCTCATTGGTAGGTAGGAGGTCTAGATGGGGCACTTTGGCTTCAGGAGGCTTTGGCTGAATAAGGTGGAAGGTGAAAGCAGCAGGCAAGAGATGCCCGGCCTGCTGCGCAGCTGGATTAGGTGGCACCGGTTACTTTCCCTGTGCTACTTCTAGTCACAAAGAGTAAAGATACCCGGAACCACCTCTCCCGCTGATGGGAGACCTGAGGGTAAGAGGAGACTGAGGTAGGAAAAAGGGCACAGGCTGGATGTAGAGAGGAGTCTTGTTTCAAAAAAGGGTGTAAGAATCTGGGTCACTGAGGGGCAAAAAAGAGGATGCCTTGCTGGGGTATTGCTATGAGCAGCCCTCAGCAGCTACCAGAACTGCTTTTCCAGCTCACTGTACTCTTACTGTAAACAGCGAAAAGTGGACAGAGACATCACAATGCACGGACCTCAACATTCTTCCATGCAGGGGTGCCCAGCAGGGCGAGATGGCTGGGAGGCATCTACTGCCCCTGCAAAGCAAAGCTATGGCAACAGATGACAAAATGGAAATGGCCTGGGAGGCAGAGTGGGGAAAGGCGAGGAACAGCATCAGTGGCACGGAAGGGCGGCAGCCCCGTCCTGCAGGCCCCACATGCCGAGCGCCGGGGAGGAAGATGGCGGTGTGCTGCTGGAATGCTGGCTGCTAGACACGGGCGTAGTGTGGCTGTCGGGAGGTAGGAGAGGAATGCCGGGGCACCTGCAGGAGTACAGCCCCGGCGGGAGTGCTGTGGCACTAATGGGTGGGGGCAGAGGCTTCGGCAGGTTGCTGGGCGTAGGAGAAAGGCATCGGGAGGCGGGCTGCTCCCTGCTGCTGGGCACCGGAGCAGAAAATGCCGACTGGCTGTTCTGCCATCAGGCGCCACATGACATGGAATGATTGCCCAGGGATTGCGACACTGTCAGGCACTGGAAAGGGGCATTCTGCAAGGCATCTGCTGGTGCCATGGCACTTAGGGGGACACTGTATGACTGTGGCACCTTGACAAGGGATCGTGCCGGTGCCCAGGCATGGGGAGAATCCCACTTTCCAGACTCTTAGCCCTGCCTGCCCCTGGCCATCTTTTCTGTCTTTAACTAGGTGGGCCTTTCCTTCTCAGGCCAGTACTTTGATTCCAAAATATTTGCGCAGCTGCTCCAGGAAGACAAACGTGAGCACGGTGTGAGGGACCAGCCGGATGCCAGCCGGAACCAGGCCCTGGAAGAGAAAAAAGGAGGGATCAGATTCTGGCAACTTCAGAGACTTGGCCAAGGAGTGAAGACCTACTCTTGACAACTCCTAACCTGGGAAGGGAAGGTGATGCTTGAAAAAGAGGAAGCTGGTTGGTGCATGGCCAGGTTTGATCTAGCTTCAGAGCAGGCAGGGCTCTGCCGGAAGCCAATTCCTGAAGCAGTTTATCTCGTGCAGCTTGCTTGCCCTTGTCCTCAAAGCAAAGCTGCTTGGCATGGGGCTGCAACAGTGGGGTAAGGGGTGCGGGGAAGCAGCAACTGCAAGGCTGACACATCTTCCCATCTGAAGCCATCTTGGGTGAAAGGAAGCAACCAGATGGAAGGCATATGGCTCCTGGTCCTCGGAACAGCAGGAACATAGGAGGAACCAGAAATAATCACTGCAAGGCTGGAAGGCCCACTGTCTGAGTTGTGTACCTCGTCTGCTTGGCACAATTGCCCATGGCTGTGCCTGCTCCTCCCGCATTACCTTGTAAAAAGCCAATGGTCCAAGCCTGGCAGTCTCCATTGCACAGTGCATGACACCCTGGGACCAGAAACAAACAACAAACAGAGTAAGGTCAGTACATTCCACGCTCGCTGTTCCTCTTGCTCAGTCTCTGGCTGTCACAGACTGATGTCGAACTGCAGCAGCCAAGATGCTCCTCAGAAGTCGGGGGATGAGCCAAGCCACCGCAGCGGTGGCAAAGCAGGCAGAAGGCCAGAGATGCTGAATGCAGGCAGCAAGAGGAAGAGGCTGGCAGGCTGGGCAGCCATGGATCACTCACCCGATACTCGCCCTGGGAATTCATAAGCCGTGTCTTCAGCACATCCAAGGGCTGACACAGGAATGTGGCGCATCCCCCCTGCAGTTAGGAATTGGGGGCAAGAGGGCGGGAAGAGACAGCAGACTTTTTGAGATGCTGGGCTACGGGCGAGGGGTGTATCCGCTGGGGTGGGTGTGGGGATGACTACAGAGGATGACTTATGAAATGGCCTGCACATGACTCTTAGGCCAGCTGGCCACCTATCTTGCCTTGCCAAATGCTGAAGAAAATCTGATCATGTCTCCAGGACTCGATTAGAAATCTAGTGAATCATCAGGTGAACAGCAGGACCGTCTTCATCACTGGGGCAACTGGCTTACCAAGCAGTTACAGTAAATGAAATTACAACATGATGAACGGTCACCCATTTTCAGCCAGGGAGCAGATCAAATGGGACCGCCATGCCAGCTTCTCAAGTGACCCACCCAGGAGGAATGGGAATCTATGGTGCCCTCTAGTGCTTCTGCTACCTCGTGCTCAAGAAAACTGGAAGAAACAACCTCGCCCATCTATCTAAGGAATTCTCCCTTTCCCTTGAAAACCCCCCATAACCCTTCTTCTTTTGCAAATCCTCTCAGGACCATCACACCCTCGTCTGCTCTGCACTGTCTGTATTTCTTGCCTCTCTCTCAAATCTTGCTCTCTCCCCACCTTCACCAATCTTGAGGTAGAGCGTTCACAATCTGCATTGCTTCCAAACAGCCACACTACTGAGACTACGCAGGCATTTCATAGCAGTTGTGTCCTTAGTGGTCTTGTTCAGGCCTGAGCAGTTAACGGCCCTCCAAGGCGAGACACAGCCCTCAGCCAGCTGTGGCGACCGACAGGCATATACACGCCTCAGTTCTGCAGCCTCACCCAAGAAGCAAAAACAGGAGGTTGCCTGTCCTGTATTGTGTTTGGCTTGGTGGACCACTGCTCGTGCGGGTCTGTTCAACTACTGCTGCCTTGCAAAATTAGATTGCTCCCATGGCTGAATCGCTGGACAATTCTGCATTAAAACCATGAACTCATCAGGTTTGCAGTTCAGGCTGAGGCCCCCGAAGGAAAGGGTTTGGTACCTTCACTTTAGCCTCAGCAATCCTGTGGAGCTGGGTTTGGACCTGTATCTTCCTGAGGCAGCGGACGGAATGTCATAATCTTTACATCTAAGAGGACCAGCAGCTGCAACCCCCATCAAAGACAGGCACTCCCCCATCTCCCTGGCCCAGCACCCCATCCAGAGATACACTTACAGCAATAAAGCTGGACAGGAAATGGGTAAAAATATTGTCGGAGAGCAAGCCAGTTCCAAGGACCAACTGCTTAGCCTGGTCATAGCAGGCGAGCTGTAAAGAAGTGGAAGATGGTAAGACGGGCTCCAAAGTCAGGGTGACACTGAATGTGCTGTGCGTACCAGTGCTGCCCGCAGATTTGGCGCACACACACTTCCTTCTGAACACGGCTGTCCTAGAACAGCTTATCTATGTCCTCCCACGAGAAAAGGTGGTTGTCAGTTCCATGTTTCATCCACAGCATCTGCAGAGGAGGTGATTCTTCTATTGCACCTCAGTGATTCAGGACAGAACTTCCACTAACTCCTATTTCTCCTCCACAGGTAACAAGACAAGAAGTCAAACATTCATATGTGTATTCCAAATGAGGCATCTATGTAGGGCAGCCTTCCCCAGCCTAGTGCCCTCCAGATGTCTGGGGCATCAGCCCCTGCCAGCGTGGCTGGTGGTTAGGAATCCTTCATCCAAAAAACCTGGTGAGCACCAGGTGATGGAAGGCTGCTGCAGAAGCTCCGCATGCTTTATGGTGGTGATATACCTAGCTGGATGCATGCATACACCGTCTATAATATTTATTTCATTTGTGCATTGCCTTTCTAAGCCAAAAATGGTTGTCCAGGCAGCTTACGGAACAATCAAATGTCATTAAACCAATGTATTAAAATAACAATAGAAACATGTTTACAGCACACCATACCCGGAGCTCTCTTGGTGGTTTACAACAATTATGTGAGGATGTATTCAGCTGTGCAAACACAGACAACTCTGACAAAGTGTGGTTCCTACCTGTCCGACGGTAACCAGGGCCCCTCGACTTGATGCCATTGTTCCCCCTGAGAACAATTTCTTCAACCCTTCTGCAAAGGCAAAAGGGAGCAGGGCATGACATTTGCAGAGCAAGAATTCCCATCAGCCTCTTTGCCTGGGTGCTGACCCCCAAACTTGTCCCGGCATCCAGGTCTAGGAGGAGCTGGGCTTTCTGCCCAGGAACTTCTCTTTGACAGGCCCGCTCTCCCACCCCCAAGCCCTTGCCTGGGAGCACCTATTCTTCTGCTCCCAAAGACAGAGGAATGCTTTCAGGATGTCATTTAGGAGGGTGCCCTGGGGAGCGGAGCAAATCAATACATGGCTTCTCTGAATTCAATCACAGGCTGGTTTTAAAGTGTATGAAACAGCTAGACTTTTGGCCAGAGTAGGAAGATTAAAAAAAGCCCTGATAAGGTGCCATTGTAATGTAAGACAGTGATGCCTAATCACGATAATGCACTCAAGGCTGAAAGATTTGAAGCAAACAAATAAGTTGGCAGAGCAGCAGGAAAAATAACTGCTTCCATTAGATGCCTGTGGGGGAGAGACAACCACAGAAATTAATCAGCAAGGGAGAGGACTGGCTGATACAGAAGCATTCTCCAAGCTGTGCCAGGAGCTGGCTTTTAAATATAACGTTGCCAGCAGCAATGGATATGGGACTGCACAATAGAGCTTTAGGGTAGAATTGCCATGCCTATTTTATAAAGGGTTCCCACAACATCAGGTACTTTGAGATGACGCTTTTATTTTGCAATTGCTCTGTCTCAATTCACAGAATTACATTGTGGGTCTATAACAACCTCGCCTTCAATTTTTAACTCCTCTGTGTTTCTCCACCTCTTCTTTTTTCTTTTAAAAAAATCCATTAATGAGGAAAGGAGGGAAAAACTGCATGATAAATTGTGACTGGTAGTGTCAGGAGCCTAGCACTGAGAAATATCCTTCGTCATCCATTTACTATCCTCCCATGTTTTTTCCTAGTGCTTTTTTATCTTTTTCTTACTGCTAAAATCCCCATTTTAAAAAACAGACTCTATTTTTTACATGGAAACATTCCCAGTAGATGAACTTGACATGGTTTAAGGCATATTCACAGTAATCTAGTGGGCAGCATTTTAGAACCCCATTAATTAAAAAAAAAACACTCTTTAGTTAATGCAGAAATATGACACTGGCATTTTAATAATATGGCAGAATTTTCTAATTAATGTTTGCTTTGGATAAAAAATGTTTAAATACTATGGTTTTGGGGTCTGGGTTATTTTTGTCATTTCACAAGTAGTAATAAGCAATTTCGTTTTTGTATTAGTAAATGCTTAGCTCTAAGTAAATGTGTGGTTTTTCAGAATCACTCAGAGTGTTTTCCTCCTTCTGCAAAATAGTCGCTCAGTTCATTGGGCCTTCCCCCTCCTCACCCGCAGCAGCTCTGTCACCCCCAGTGGTGTGATTGGAACTGACCAGGAAGAACATGCAGGACAAGCACAGGGACGCTCCTTTTGATTAGGTTTAGGCTGTTGACCTCAAACATTTCAGCAGGTTTTTTTTGTGTTTTTGTTTGGAGGCCCACGGGTTGGAAGTCAAGGGCAGATCTGGTTAATGGATCACTCGCCATACTTTGGAAGGCCATACATCCCGTCCACTCCCACAGGGAGAGGGGTGGAGACTGCTGCTCCTGGCTAGTTCCAGGCTGTGTATCTGTGCTCTTCCGTGACCTCGCCGAGTGAAGAGGGCGCCTGGAGTCCCAGACAGCTCTGCTGGCCATTCTGTGACACTCACTTAGGAGGAAGCCACACTGGAGAGGGACCAGGGCAGGCTGCGTTGTGCCTTTGAGGCTTGCTGTTCCCTTCTCCTCGATTCTGGGAGTGGGAAGCTACCCACACTAGCACTGGCAATAGAGGCAGCGGGAGCAGGTCTTATCCGCCCTCCCTAGACTTGAAGGAACAACCTTTGCAGCCTCTCCTCTCCCTGAGCCCAGGATTCTGCACGCTCATCCTAATTTTTAACAGCCAATTTGTTGTAATTTGTGATTTTATACCTCACATCAGATGCTGTGCTATTCTTACTCTTACTTCTGTTTTAATTCTATTTTATTAATGTGGTTGTGAACCATCCCGAGACGTCAGTGATGGGACGGTACAAGACAGTTTTAAATAAATAAAGTAAAAGCCAAGGGTGCGGCCGAACTTTTATACCTGGAGCTCTTCCAGTGCATTCCAGATCCACAAATTCCTTCACACTCCCATTGCCTCTCCTAAGGTGCAGCGGCCAAGACCACATCTTCAAATACGGGGCAAGCATGGAAAGTCACTGGCCACAACGTGGGTCATTATGAGCAGCCTCCTGTGAGCACATGCATGCGTGCAGATGTGCATGTGCGCACACAGCCTGCAACTTCATGGCCAAGGCTTTTGCCTCTGAATGATTTCTTGTTCCCAAGGCACCGCTCCCTCCCATCTGCCACCTGTGGCCCAGGACTGCACCCCAAACCTACCTCCTATATCAAAGGAGCAAATTCATGTCCATTCACCTTATTCACCCTCCTCACCCATGAAGTCGCTCAGAAGTACAATCTAGCTCTGCCGTGCAGCAATGCAGTTCTTACCTTCACGGAACACCCGATATAACCCATCCAGAGCGTGCGAGTAGCTGGGGAACAAGGAAAGCCCAGTCAGCAGCCTGAACCTGTCTCAGCTGAACCGCCGCTCGCATCTGCCGCACTGCACCCGCACACGGCTGGCCAGCACGGCAGCTTCAGTTGCGTGTGTGTGTGGCTCCAGGAAGCTTGTTGGATTTTATTGCCAGGAGGGCCAGCCTGCTTCAAAAATGCATCTTCTTTTACTGGATGCTGCTCCTCTCTCCGTAGTTATACAGTTTCAGTGCAGCCCCTAAAGAGGGCTACATTCATTTACAAGATGTATGAATCATTTGCATGAATGAGATTTCTAAGTGATGCACAAAGACAAGGCAGAGGACAAGAATTCCTTCCTGGATATGCCTTTTGGGGAAGGTGTTCTTTCTACAGGGGCCAAAATGGGAGCAGGCTCGACACCAATCTAATTTGTACTCATAGGGAGTTCCAGAGTGAGTGCTATGAAACTAAAGCCGTGGCGGAACGGACATCCCAACTCTTGGGTACCACCAGAGGGCCATCCCTGGAGGAGTGCGGCAAACACACGATCTTCAGTACAGGCTTTCAAGGGGTGGGGGGTGCCCCTCTCCTCCCCAGTATTTTTCTTTGCCTCTCCCACTGGACACTCACTTGCGCCGCAGGTGTGCCGGCTGTTTCATATCATTCTGCATCCTGGAAAAAGGAGGGTTACAACAGTCAAGTGCCTGGGAGAGAGAGAAGCCCTCAGTGCCCCACCACCCCGGTTGCTCCCGGTGAGGTAAGTCGCGGAGAGGCACATGGGATATCAGGGGCAGCGCTGTGCCACACAGATGCTCCTCCTTCGCTTCCCATCCCCTCCCAGCGCCAGGCAAACCAAGCAGATTGAGCTTTCAAGCGGGGAAAGGTCTTGCGCAGCCACAGAGAAAGGGGGGGTGGACACTGACCTGACATTCACCATGTCAGCCGGGGTCCCCACGAACCCACCCGTGAAACCTGCAATCAGAGAACGGCGGGTGAAAGTGGGCTGCGCGGCCTCTCCTGGGCGGGCCCGTCAGCCTGCCCTCGCCGCATCCCGGCTCACCTCCTACTGCACCTAGCAGCACCTTCTGGTAGAAGGGCATGGGCCCCTGGGCCCCCTGGCTCAAGCGGTCCCGCACGGTCTCATAGATGGCAAAGCGGGTGAGGGAGTACGTCATCTGAGGAAGCAGAAAGAGGCACATGCTCATGCCCTGACCCTGCCTGCCTGTGGCGGCTGCGCCTCTTGCACATGCGGCTGCAGCCCTCGCACCCCCGAGCATAAGACACACACGCCCTGGCAGCGACAGCCTGCTCCTGCTCCTCACGCTCACCCCAGCCTGGCCGGGAGGGACGGCAGCTGCAGTCCAGCACGACTGCCACCCGGAGGGCACTGAGTGGAGGGGCTGGCCCGGAAGTCTTTCCTGAAGGCAAGGCCCCAAGGGAAACCAACTTCTCCCTATCTGCCTGCTTCCTAGTTGCTACAGCGGGATGCAGCTTTGGCCCAGGAACGAGACCCACAGCTGGAACGAGATTCACATGCGGCCCCTTTGGGCTGCCCAACCGCGGCAGCAGAACCATCAGCTGGCCCTGCTCTGGAGCTGCCTGCAGGGCCCGGGGATGCACAAGCGCTCTGGGGAAGTAGCAGCAGAGACGGCGCGCGGGACAGGTGAGCGCTGCGACCGGCCAGTGCCGCTGGAGGACCAGCACACGGAGGAAGCGGAAGCAACTGGAAGACTGCTGCTGCCCCCAGTGTGTCCTCATCCCACAGGCTCAGGAGGGAGTCTGCTGGTTCCGTTTCTGAAATTCCCGCGGCCAGACCCCACTTGATCTCGCCAGATGGCCGAGGCCGCTGGACTGTCCCGCCTGCGCACTCCATCAGCCCTGTTCTGCAGGAATTCTGCTGCAGCTTTGGCAGACTTGCCCGCCACTTTCAGAGACGATGCAGGACTGCAGAAGTCACAAAGATTTGGTCGCGAGGCTGAATGCGTCCCAGTGCTGAATCTGTGGCACAGCCGGGTCTTGGGGAGATACTGGGAGAAGGGGCAGGTCTCCCACAGGCAAGGATGGAGCGGAGAGCTGGCATGTGAAGCCCTCCTCCCCTGGATCTGGACTGAATGGACTGCAGCACGCATCTTGGCGGCAGGGTAAGGCTCACCTGTCGACAAAGGGAGGCACTAAGCCCGTTGTAGAGAGCGAGGAAGCCGTCACTGCGAACCACATGCACCGCCATCCCTGTCATGCGCATCTTCACCTCCTGCTGGGTTTGCAAATGGACCTAGGGGAGAAAAACAGAGGGCAAATGGTTAAGATGGATTTGCTCGGCTCCCCTCATTCTTGGGAGGGCATCTGCAGCCGCTGCAGCACTTCTGCATGCCTAATCTTCAATGCAGAAAGTCTCTGAAGTTGCCCCCCCACACACACACACACAAGTGGGAATTCATTTTAACTGTAGCTGGAAAATCTGCATTTGAAGGTACAAACAGGGCAAGATACTGCCCATTAGATTCCAAGACACTACTTTAGTTCTAAAAAAAAGAATTCTGCAGAACTAAAGATGTGGGAAAATGGGAGGAAATGGAGGGGGGTTCTTTCCCAGGGACTTTTTTGTCCTTGGAAAAAAAGGCTATCCTTTAAAAAATATTAAGGATGCAATGCAATGCATGTCTAGACAACAAAAGCCCAGCAAATCTCAGCATGCCCCAGCCAGTTATGGGGCCGTTAGACTTTTTTTTCTGTCCAAACACACATTTGATTGTGCCATAAATGTGCTCCCTACGCCCAAGCCCCAACATTCACACCTTCTTTCCAGTTCTACTCCCAGCTCTCTGTCCTCCAGTAACATAAGAGTTTGCAATATAAGCATTTTACTATCTGGCTCCTCTGCCCAGAATCTGGAACCAGACAAGCTCTGGCAGCCAGCCACCACCATCACTCTAGTTTGGCAGAGCAGAGAGGGGAACAAATGGCAAATTCTCGCACTGAAGGGATTCAAACAGTGGGGTCCCACCAGGTTCTGTATTAGGTTCAATGCTTTTCAACTTTATGAGTAATAAATGATCTGTAATGATCTGGAAATAAGAGTGACGTGACCAAGCTTGCTGGTGACACCAAATCATTTGGGGTACTTATAACAAAAAGGGATGATGAAGAGCTTTAAAAGGATCTCTCCATAATGGTAAATGGATGTCAAAATTGCAAATGCAGCTGAATGTAAGTAAGTGCAAAGTAATGCACAACTCCACGTATAGGTTGAGGAGATCTGAGTTAGTCATGATGAACCAAGACAGAGATCTCGAGTTTGCAGTAAACATCTTGATGACAATGCCAACCCTGTGTATGATAACCATGAAAAAGGCAAATTAAATGTTGGACACCACTTGGAGGGTAACTGAAAATAAAACTGCCAGAATCATATTCACTCTAATCTATGGTGCATCCACACTCAGAATGCTGCGTGTAATTCTGGTCGCTGCACCAAGAAAGCATGTTGTGGCATTGAAAAAAGGGCAAAGAAGGGCAACCAAAATGGTCAAGAGGCTAAAGCAAATCCACTACGAGGAAAAGTTACAGCAAGGAGACAAGATAGAGGTGCACAGAATTATCGATGGTGGGGAGAGAGGGGAGAGGTAGACATTTTCTCCGTTTCTCATAACACTATAACCTGGACTTAGCTCATGAAGCAGAATCAGGACAGATCAAAGAAAGTACTTCTTCACATAGTACATAGTTAAGCTATGGAATTCACTTACACAAGACACAGTGGTGGGTACCAATTTGGATGGCTTTAAAAGGGGGATGGACAAATTCATGGAAGATACTAGTCATCATGGCTATCTGCTGCCTCCAGTAGCTGAGTCAGTATGCCTACAAGGACCAGTTGCTAGGGAACACGGATGGGGGGATGTTACTGCACTCAGGTGGTTTTCCAGCAGGCAGGTTAATCACTGTATGAGCAGAATTATGGAGCCTTACTTGGATCCAGCAAGGCTGTGTTAATATCCTCTATCCTGCATAGTCATCTCATAGCCTCACGTGTATAATTAATTTCTGGACGCTGAAGGGTACCTGTTCCAAACAAAGCAAAGGGCTCTATAGAAATCCACAAAAACTGTTAGCCTGTCGACATCTGTAGCTTCAAACTGTTCCGCAGCAGTAGTTCCCACATGCAAACTCCCAGGTCTTTCAGTGGTGCAGCTGATGTTTATAGTGTACCCACATCAAAAATCTAGGTAAAAGGCCACGAACTGATAAAAATCAAAGCTCTTGGCAGCCTTCCTCCAGCAGAAGGATCAAGAACAGGAGGCGGAGGTGGTGGCACTGGGCATAAGGAGAAAGCAGCACTGCTGACACCTCCGCCTCTACCACCAGCCTTAGGCCACCCCATTGCTTATAAGATGGGATAGGAATCCAAGCAAGTAGCTTGCAGGGGACTTCTATTTTGAACAACAGCTCCCAGCATTCCTGACCACTTACCATGCTTACTGAGGCTGAGGGGAGGTGAAGTCCAAAATGTCTGAATGGCACTAAGTTGGCAAAAGTTTTTCTAGAGTCCTGGCAAGCTTCCAGTTGAGGCTTTTTATTATGCCATCAACCTGCCTCATTCTCAAACATACAGACACTGTAGATGCAGACACTGTTGCCTTGTACTTGTACCCCTCTTAGTCCCCCCATTTCTTCCATCTTTTTTTCTAACCACTGAAAATCTGCTAAGGAGTTAAAGATGGAATAGTTCCGCAATGCCTTCTGAACATCTGGAGGCTTGTAGCTCATAAAGGAAACACTAAGATTTGCTCTCTCCACCTTTAAGAAGTGGCTCAAAGCAAACCGGATCGATGTCCACATCAGCTGTTGCTGCAGAAAGACTGGCTGCCACAAGAGGGCAGCAAGGTGGCAGACAGTGCCAGGATAGGGCAGTCAGCGGCAGTTCTAAGAACTCTTGTGGAGGATGGAGCTGGAATTTGCTCATCGGGCAGCTGGCAGGCCCAGGCGAGGAGGGAGGGGGCAGTGATGGAGGCTGAATCTGCAGGAATCTGGAGGGTTAGCATTTTCATGCTGGCATTTATGTGCCAGCCCATTACAAGGGAAAAGAATGTTCTGCCATGCAGCACCATGGGAAGTACGCCTAAGGCTTAGAACAAGGCAAATGGAGCGAGAACAGGATTTTGCAGCAGTTAGAGCCACAAACAAGACAGTCTCTGGACACTTGTGGCTGGACACAGAAGCTCCAGAACCCCAGAAACACTTCTCCAAAACAAGCTGCATTTCTGGATTAGTCAGTTTAACCTGTTCATTCTCTCACTATCAGCTCCCAAGTATTCTGTGGACTGCGTTTTGTCACTTGATTTCACTCTGTAAGTGCCAGTCCTAGGTAAAATGAGGCTATTATGAGGGAGGTCGAAATTCAGCAACAGACACAGTTGTTTACCAGCCTTCTCCAACCAGGCGTCTTCCAGATTTGCCAGACTGCAGCTTCTATAATGTCCAACTAGCCACAATCAATAGGGCAAACATATGTTTCCCCCACTTCCAGAAGTTTTATTTGCAATTCTCTAAAGCATGTTGTTTAACCCTGATGGGACTGCTCCTTTTTCTCCTCCCTTCTGATATGTCTGCCTGTTCATCAATATCACAAGTTGAATTCTCTCTTATTCTCCACATTTAGAAACAAGAGGCAGAAAGTTATCAGTGTCAGGACAGTAAAGCTTCTGACTCAAAATAATTTATCAGCATTCCTTCTTTTTGTATATTCTGGAAACTCCTCATATCTGTTCATTCGAGCCATGTTTCTCCTGAGATTGGGAGAGAGAGATTCTTAATTATTTTGCCCAATGGCTTTAGATGGTTCTTTTCCCCCTCTGTGTTTCTGCTCTTGAGCACAAGATGCCATGTTGTATTGAAATGTTCTGCTGTTTTATTGTATTGCATTTTTGTATTTTAATATAAATTGCTGTCAACTGCCCAACGAGCTTCAGTTACTGGAAGGAACAGAAATGAAATTAATTAATTAATTAATTAATGAGTGAATGTCACTTTGGGGGAATCGATATGATGAAAAGCTTAGGCTGAACAGGTACTTAGGTTTCTGCAAACCTCAACTTCATCCCACAAGATGTGGCTCACTGACTTTAGCCTTTATCTCAAGAGACAGAACTTGAACCATGGAACCAGATGCTCAAAGGCAGCAGAAACTACACAGACTACACCTGTTTTACCAGGACTGACGAGATCACTTTATCTACAGGGCAGCCTGCTGGCCATGACAACGGAAGGGCTGTCGCAGCCATGCTGCTAGTCGGCACTGCTTCCTGGGAACGAGCCAGGAACTCCAGGCCCCGCAGGGCACAGGATCAGATGCCAGTCTACTCTGCCTAGGAAACGAGACACTGGACGGTGCCAGGAAGAGCGGGCCAACCATGGCCAGGGTCTCATGCCAGGAAACGGCGGACGCCAAAGTGCTTGCCTGCTGTGGGGCGGGCCGAGCACTTCCTCGTAGCCACAGAGTCAAGATGGCAGAGAGGGGGCAGCCACGAGAAGGAGGGGAAGGAGGAAGCTGCTGCCTATATGGGACAGCCTCCATGGTGACAGGTGTCTTTGGGGCTTTCTTCTCCTCTCCATGCAACTCTTGTACGGCTGCCCTCGACGGAAGCGCCTTTGGCGGCAGGGGGACAGGGGGGATCTGCCGCCGCTGCTGCTGCTCCAGAGACCTGGCTGCTGCTCAGCCCCCTCGCCTGCCAGGAGCGGCTTTCCCGGGCAATCCGCTGCGAAGGAGCACGCGGTGCTCAGCCCCGTACAAGGTCTGGAGGGGAGGAGCACCAGATACGGCAAGAGGAGCCGGGAGCGCAGCAGGAGGCCGGCAAGGCGAGCCCAGGGGCCTAGGCGGCCCAACGACCCGGCGCCGGCCGACGTGGGACGCCCCGCTCCCCGGCTCTCTCCCGCCCCCCGCCCCGCCGCCGCCCCGGCGCACCTTGAGCAGGTCCAGCGGGTGGGTGCAGCAGGCCGCCCCGCACGAGGCCAGGCCCCCGAAGTACCAGCGCGACACCCGCTTCTCCGCCATCGCGCCGGGTGTACGTGCCTCCTTCCCGTGTGCCCCGAGGAGCCGGGCAGCCCGGCCTCGCCGCAGCTCCACACCCAGCACACAGCTGGCGAGGCCTTAAACGGGCAACGCCAGCCCCGCGCCGAGGGGACGCCTTAAAAGAGCAACTGTGGGCCCGCGCCGAGGAGGGGCCCAGATCCCGCCCGGGGCTTCGGGCGCCCGCCATCAGCCCGCCCACGTACGGCCCAGCGAGCCTGACGCCCTTGGCGAGGCACTCGAGCGCGTAAACTGCTGCTAATCTTCCCCCACTCATCGCTAATCTGAAAGGAAATCCCGGCTCTCTTTAACTCAAGCCGCAAAGCTCCTGTTGACCGTCGTTGATAGTGTTGTTGGTTAGGGTCCACCTAATAGCTGTGGGCATATGCGCGCGCCCGCATGCACAGGAGCCTAAAATATTTTAAATATTGAAAGGCATGAACCTGCTGAGGGGTGGCCTGCCAGGCTCATCCATTGTTACAAACGTTCATTTTATTTATGCTTAAAGAAAATAAGATTTAGGGAGATCGTGGGTTCTTCCACGTTGGAGACATTCAAAATGCAGCTGAGCAGCAGTCTGTTAGGGATGGTTTAACTTGGAGTCCTGCACTGAGCAGGGGGTTGGACCCGATGGCCTTATTAGCTTCTATGGAATTTATTTTGTATCAGAGCAGCAGAAGTAAACTCCATTTTATTCCTGTAAGGATATTAGTGCTATGCTGCAATGAGTTTAAAGTGCGAAACCACACATGCTCAGATAACTTTAAAAAAAAAAAACAGGGTTATTATTTTAATATCCCACCTTTTTTCCAATTGCAAGGAATAATTCTCTTCCTCCACTCCATTTTAATCTCCACAACAATCCTGTGAGAGAAATTAATCTAAGAATGAATAACTGGATGCAGTTATTCATCCCTCCAAACTAAATTTAGGAGGGAATTCAACTGTCATCTGTGGCTTGAATCAGGATTATGCATTTTTATCAGTTTATGAATTAGCTTACCAGTGTAATATCACCTGACCTAAATTACCATTATACTTCACACATCAAATAAAGTGTCCACAAAAGTGCATGCAATAATGCATTAGACTTTTAGGTGCCACAAAACTCTTCGCTGATTTTGCTACAAGGATCTTATTCATGGAGCAAATTCCCCTTGCCAGATGCTTCTTTTGGAACATGTGCTGCCGATTCTCCCTTTTCCATCTGTGCATTTTGTCTGGCGTGGAACTCAGACTTACAACCATTGTTTTCCATTGCCTCACAACAGTCTTTCCCAACCTAGTTGCCCCCCCCCCCCCCCCCCCATGTTTGACTACAGGTTTCATCAGCTCCAGGCAGGACATTCTGGCCAGGAATTATGGGAGCTGTAGACCAACACAACTGAGGTATGCCAGATTGTGGAAGACCACAAACAAGCTGTTACTTTCCATTCTGGCTTACGTAAGGCTGTTCAGTACACCTCTTGCTAAAAGCTTGTTCCCTTCACACCCATGTACTGCATCTAGTGATGTGAACATTATGGAGAGTGCAGTAGGGGGAAACCCTTGCTCTGGGGATCCGTGACCAAAGCTCCGTATGCAGGCCTCCTGCCACCAATGAGGCTATGCAGCGGGACTGGCTCTGAAAACAACAGCCCTTCAGTTGCAACGAAAGCATTTCGCTTTCATTCTCTGTTTGCGCTGACAGCAGATCTACATATATGCAAGCATCAGTTGTGACATGTCCAAAGTTCACGTGGCAGAACGCCGAGTATCATTTGTGCACTGTGGGTGACTGGTTCCGGGGGAAGCAGTGCATGGCACAGGCCACACAGGTGCGCTTTCCTGATCTGAGACCAGCCACAAATGATACTTACGAAATGGTATGTGGGGTTTAGGGGAGTTGAGTCTAGTATTGTTTTTGGACTGGAGAAAACAGATCAGCAATACAGCAAAGGAGGACAAATTCAGGGATGACTAGAGCACATGCGCCCAAGCTCAGTCCTCTGCTAAAGCATTGTGGAGTCATGGTAGCCAAACCTATGAAACTACCTTCTACAAACTCAGGACACTGATCTCTCTAGTCCAGTACCAACTCTGACTGGCAGCTGTCTCTGGGATCCAGGCAGGAGCCTTTCCCAGCCCTACCTGGGAGACATCAGGGATGGAGGCAGGGATCTTCTGCATGCAAAGCATGTGCTCCATCACTGACCTAAACCTTTGCCTCCATTTGGAGATCTGTAGGGACGAGCACATCAGGGATATGGCTATCAAAAGCTATAGTACAGGTGGTTATATGCAGTCTCCAAGGTCAAGAGGCAGTATGCCCAGGTACCCACTTCTGTTGCACTCATGTCCCGCTCGGCAATCCCCACAGGCAATTAGTCGGCCACGGGATGCTGGACTAAATGGACCTTAGCTGAGCCAGCAGGGCTCACCACATCTTCATAAGAACATACACTTTGTGTAAAGGAATGAACAGAAGGCCAGCGTGACCCGAGGGCCACTGTTGCATGCGGACTGGTGTCTTCCATGCACACTAATACAGAAGTGATGGCAGCGGCAGTAAACACTTTTGCAGGTATTAGATTAGTATGCTGAGGGCAGCATTGGCATTTTGCTCTTCTCAAAGCCGATCAGGAATACCCCTTGCAATCCTACATTCAGTTCAAAATATCATTCTGCCCACTTTACTCCTAAGTGATTTAAGAGTGGCTATTCTAGCGATGAATGGATGAGTTTTTTTAGGAATAGCTTTTACTGCGTTATACATAGGAGGCAGGAAATAAGATACTGTAGGTAAAGTTGAAACAAGGTGGGGTTTTACACATGTATGCTTTATCCTAGAGGACTTTAGACATTCAGCCACTTGTAATTTCATTAGATACTAACCCTGCAGTCCTCCACAGATCCAACTGCCTTCACTATTCTCAACTTTTGTGACCATGGTAGCTGAAAAATAGTTGAAAAGTAGCTGAAGTTATTCCTAGGAGGCTGTGTCCATAAAAGGAACTGTGTCACACCACTGGCCTTCTACACTTTCTACACTTCTATACATTCCCAGGCACTGTTAGGATGAATAGTACAGAGAACAGTCTACATCAGTACTTTTTTGGAAATATTTGGCATTACAGGTATTTAGTTGAAAATACCTAGTAAAATACTTGCAAGAAAAAAATGCTGCAAGTCTGCAAGATTGCTACTGCCAAGCCCAAGACTCACTGGAGCCAAGATAATTGTTGATGGGGTTCAGACAGGCAGCAAGAAAGCGACACTGCAAGGGGGCAGGCTTCCCTTCCAACTAAGCCTCTTTGAAAAGCAAACCAAGTTCCACAGTGGCGGTGCCTTCCCTGAAGGCTCCTGCTCCAAAGGCAGCAAAGCACAGGCAGGAAGCCCCGCTTCCCTCGCAACTGGCCCCAACACTGCACCTCAGAAACGGTCCGAAGGGATGCTCCTTATGGCCAGCTTGCCAAATGCTCACCTTAGCTTGACCTCGGGCAACAGTATGGACTCTGGGCTGAGAGCCCAGCTTGTTCTGCTAAGCAGCCAATCTAAAGCAAACCAGGAGAACTCGTTCTGAACAATGGCTCCACTCGGCTTTTGCAACAGGCAATGCTATTCGGACAAACTTATCACCACTACACCCATTTAGTAAAGCTACAATTCAGCAAGTCCCAACAGCAGGAAGAAGAGAGCTGGAGGCTGTGCCCCTGTACTGAAAACCCAACAGGATTAAGGGAAAAGGAAGGAAGTTGTGCAGTTGAGCCACTCATAGCAACAAGGAATCTTCGAGGTGGCCAGAGGGACTCTTTCCTGCAAGCTCAGGTTCCTGGTGTGGAAAACAGATCGCTTTCAACAGGCTGACTGCGTCTATTCAAGGACCCTTCAGGGTAGACAGAAAAACGTACACATGATGGAAACCTGCTGTCACCCCAAGTTAACTATAGGCAAGGACTTATGAACACCCCAACAAGAAAAGCCATCAGATTTTTCACTTCTGATTCTTAAGGTAATCTTCCCTATCTTGCTGCCCTCCGGGTGTTTTGGACCTCAACTCCAGCCAGCGCAGACAATGATCAGGAATCCTGGGAGCTGTAGTCCAAATCAACTAGAGGGTATCAGGTTGAGGACGGATGTTGTAAGGGGAAGAGCAATTCATGACTTAGAGAGCTCCAAAATCTGCAAGCCTCTGACACATGGCAGGTGCCTGGGCCACCCTGCTCTATGTTAAAAGGGTCGTGCCTTTATTGCACCACCCACTTTCAAACGGAACACATTAGAAATAGCTGCACAGAGAATCCCCACCTGCTCCCAAACGCCACAAAAATCCCTCCTCTTGCAAATTGGTTAGATGAGCTCCTAACAGGATAAGCAAAAGCTCAAGGACATCTCCAGGTGGGGAAGATGACAGAGGTTTGCAAGAACGTCTCCTCACACAGCACATGTTCCACGTTCTTCCACATAGGTATTCTTTATAGATTCCGTTCTTTACAGTGCTGGTACAAACAGCAGACCTCATGGAACTGATGACATTCATCAGCACTGGGCCATCCCAGTGAAAAGCCCCACTGCAATAAACCCATGGGGGGGCTGCATCCTGGAACTGTACAGGACCCCCCACACCAGTCAGCAGGTGAATGCCCAGGGTGGGCGACACAGGCCACAGAACCGTCTCCTGCTCTGTTCTTGTCCTTTGGCAGCCAGGCTGACCCTGTTACTCCACAACCACAGTCCCTCCTGCTGCCTCCAGAGCCACTTTGATTTTCTCTGCTTCTTCTTTAGAAACGTTCGCCCTGATTTCTTGAGGAAGAGACTCTACCAACTTCTTTGCCTAGAAGAGAACAAAGGCATCTCTATTTAGTAAATGAAAGGGAAATTGCTGCCTAGTCCCAATGCTATGTGATGTGCTCTGCCTCCCCTCTGTCCCTCAAATTGGAAGAGGATGACTCAGCTCAGAGAAATGCTGGCCAAACAGAAGCATCTCCTGGGTTGAAGCTAACTTTCAGCTAGCAGAATTCTTTGCAAGAGACAGACAACTATTTCTGATTAGTGTCCAAAAATCCTCTTTGGAGCAGCACCACACTAGATGCCACACTAGATGCCTCTTAGTAAGGGTAGCCAATCCACTAATTCCACACTGCCACCTTGCTTTTTTTCTTCCACACATTCCCTCCGGAGCTCATCTTCTTCCCATTGAGTCTGCTGCCCTCAAATGGCATAACGAGAACTGACGGCTAAGCTCATACAGTCCAGCAACTGCAACTAACCCAAAACGCAGCAGCCGAACACTTTGGCACCTCTATTTTTTTTTTAATCACCCTGGACTGGTCCTGGTTCATTAGTGGTGGATTCCTGAGCTCAAGTGAGGTTCTAATTACCACTTGTAAAGCCCTCAATGGCTTGGGATCAGGATACCTGAAGCTGCACCTCTGCCCTATGCGCTGCCTAACCGTTTTGGTCATCAGAGGCCCTGCTCTACGTTCTGTCATCAAGGGTGATGCATCTGGCGGTAATATGAGGTAAGGCCATTTCAGTGACAGCACCTCACAGGTCAACTCTTTCCTAAAACAGGCTCAAATGGACCCTTCAGTGAAAATTTTTAGGTGGGCAGTCAATGGTTTACTTTCAGTAAGCGGTTATTGCTTTTAATTATTTGTTAATTTTACTGGTGGCTACTTTTATGTGGTTTAGCTTTTTTATCATGGTTTTATTGTATCAGGATTTGTTTTGCTGTTGTCAGAGGCTTTGGAACAAATACATAAATGCCTCTAAAAATAAAGATGCAAAAATCAAGGTTGCACATTCATTCTCATAACATGTTTCAGGCACTAAAGTAGCCTGAAAAGACACAAGCCCAGGCCTCTGCATACTTGGGGAGCACCGTATGCCTGTTTATTACTTTATATGTATTTAAGAAGAAGAGAACTTGACTGTATTAGAGACCTGAGAGAGGCTTAAAGGCAAGCACAGACAACTTACCTGGACAAGGTTTAGACCTTGCATGCAATTCTTCACTTCCTTGATGAGTTTCACCTTCTCTGCAGCCTTCAAGTCAGTCAACTTTACTGAGAAATTTATTTTCACTGGCTTCTTGGGGATATCTTCCTCTTCTTCAGGCTGGCATGGAGCAGGAGAGAAAAAAACACATAATCTACAGCTGGAGCTTGACCTTTTAGCCCAAGGCACAACAGCCAAAGGAGGAAGTAAAGTTGCTCAGGCCGGAGACTGGGTGGGGTCAGAACTTATTGTATTGGCAAATCCTTTGACATTTATCCTACTTTCTTGTAATCTTATGTAATCCATGTTAGTTAATATGAGAAAGTGGAGATTACAGGTTAGCCATTTTAATTGAAAAAGACTCAATTAAACATCAGTGTTTTATTACTGGAACTTAGCAGTGGCCCAAGGAGTAAGTTTAACCAGTGCTGGGCAGCTACAGCAGGCAGACGGCTGCTGCCTTTGTGCCTAACTTTTGGACATGCCAGAAGTTCCTGGTTGTCCACTAAGAGAATGATGGACTAGAGCCAACAGAACACACGTTCTTAACCAAGCCAGCTAATACTGTAAAGAATTACTGCTTATGAGTAAAAGTATTGGAACACCGTGTGCAAGTAAAAGTAACTTGTTGCAAAAGTGGAGAGAATTTGATGGCATTATCAGCTGTCCTTGAAGACTAAGAAGTGCTTACCTACAGCTTTCGAAATGTTTACATGTGGTTTAGAAAATCCCTGCAAGCTTTTGAACCGGGGAGCAGATCTTAGGCTAACACTGGTACTATTAAAACTGTTCTTTGCCTCACGTTATATAGCATTTGGAGAACTTAGTAAGTGGAATGGGTAACAGATAGCTGTGAAACTAAATGTACTTGCATCCAGCCTAGGCAATTCAGAACTTCATAGGCAATGGCCTTAAGGGGCTGCTTATTAATGCAAGTTATGGGGCCAAGAAGAAATCTGTCATCCACAATTAAATTCTGGAGAAGACTGCTGATCTGGTATGTATCACTGAGATCTGGCTGGATGTTTCAATCTGTTCTGATCCAACTTCTTCCAGCTTGGTTTTTGGTACAGCTTGGGTTACTGGCTGGGGCAAGAGCCATTATAATTTTCTGCCCAAGCTAACTAAGATTCAACATCCATACCCAGGCTTCCTTATCAGACCTTTTGTGGCTTCCTGAACAATAATGAAGCTATTCTTGCTTACTGCAAGCCTGTATGTTTGAACTGATTTTTGCAATGACCTGAAAGTAAGCAATGCAGTTGTGTTCTCTTCATTATGGGCAGACACTTACCTGATGACGTGCAGCTACTTATAGCTCATACTGGTTGAGGGGAAGACTTATGGATTCAACTGGCTTCCAGAACTCTCCCCAGAATTTGGTTAAGAATCCCAAGGGCTAGTCTGTCAATAGACTCACTGATCACTAAAGAAAGGCCAACCTCTGCCACCCCTTCAAATATTCATTTTTCCTGGTTTATGCAGAAACTTGGGACAGCTTAGATTTTCATAACACATTAGGATACAAAAAGTTAAAGAAATCATCAGCATCTAACTGAATGTGGCAAAGAGCCTAGTTGAAAGAATACGCCATGGTGATGATGGCAACAAAGAATATTTCTTCTCTGCTGTCACTGTATCCATGTCTATGCAGTATGGACTGTCTTGCCTGAATGCTATCTGTGTCTTCAGTCAAAGTACCCGGAAACTTAGCTATACACAATCTACAGTGGCACCTTGGCTCACGAACTTAATCCGTTCCAGGATTCTGGTCGTGACCCAAATTGCTCGTGAGCCAAGTCAAATTTCCCCATAAAGTTCAATGTAAATAAGGTTAATCCGTTCTGTAACTTTTTTTTTTAAATAACAAAAACTTGAAGCATACACACTGGGGGTGGGGGAGAAGGGCACAATTGTGGGCGTCCTCAGGGGGAAGTGGGTGCCATCGCGGGTGGCTGGGGGGGAGGCGGTGCAAGCGTGGGCACACTTGGGGGGTGGAGATGGGCGCGATTGCAATCGTCACCCGATGAGTTCATGACCCAAGGCAAAATTTTTCAGAAATTTCTGTTCATGACCCAATTTGGTTGTGAACTGAGGCGTTCGTGAGCCAAGGTACCACTGTACTGGATCATGTTCATAAAGCACTGTATTAACCTGGAATCAAGTAATTCCTTTAACATTATTGTGGTAAACATTTAGAGATTTCATATAATTTTATTCTTTAAATACTTCAATTGATCTTATGGCCTTCATGTAGTTGTATTGTTTTTTAATATTTTAAACATCTTTGAGCCATGTTATCAAAAGACAAGATATAAACAAATACAGTAAAACCTTGGATTGCAAGTAACTTGGTCTGCGAGAGTTTTGCAAGACGAGCAAAAAGTTTTTCTAAATTTTAACTTGTTTAACTTTTAACAATGTCTTGCAATACGAGTATTATGCATGCTTTGCCTGCCAAGTGTCACATCACAACTGAGCACCACTTCTTCTCTCTCTCACTGCGGGTGTGAGTACATCATCATCTCCCCCCTCCCAAGTGTGCCCACAATCGTGCCCACCTCCCCCCCCGAGCGCGCCCGCTTCACATTTTTGTGATTAAAAAAAAAAGTTACAGAACAGATTAACCTTATTTACATTGAACCTTACAGGGAAATTCGCTTTGATATACATGTGCTTTGGATTACAAGCATGTTTCCGGAACTAATTATGCTCGCCCTCCAAGGTTTTACTACAGATGCAGTGGAAAGATGGCATCACCAAGCACAACTGCTAAAACCAGACCTCTGTCATCTACACTCTCCTGTCTCTTCTTGCTGGATTTCTGTCGTACAACACTAATATGCAAGAAAATGTCTTCAAGCAAGTGGGGAACACAGACCAACTGAGAATCAGGAGAACATTTGTAGGAGAATACCTGTTTAGACCAACTTTAGATTTGGAATACTTGCAGTACTGCTTAATTCAGGATCGCCCAAAGAATGAATAAGGAAGACAAGTTTGGCCCACTGGAACTATAGCTGCACAGACAGTGTGCACAGCTCATTTTGCTGAACATCCAACTAAAGAAAACAGATTGCCCTTTTCATTCTACACACGGTCTAAGCTGCAGAGTGGCTACTCCCAGACATTCAGTAGTCTTGCAAATCATTGTTTAAGGACTGGTGACCTACCCTTGCTGTTGCCATTTCCATAGCACCATGCCTCTCCTTAGAAAGTTAAAAGCCACTATGCATGCTTAATACAGGACAAGAACAGCACAGCTCTAATATAAGCCCTGCAGTCCAATGCCTACTACTTGTACCACTGACATAACGTAGTACTAACGTGTTGCTGTTTAGTTGCAAAGTCATGCCTGACCCATCACGACCCCATGGACAACATTCCTCCAGGCTCTTCTGTCCTCCACCATCCCTTGGAGTCCACCCAAGCCCACACCCACTGCCCCAGTGACTCCATCTAGCCACTTCATTCTCTGCCGCCCCCTTCTCCTTTTGCCATCAATTGTTCCCAGCATCAGGGTCTTCTCCAGTGAGTTGTTCCTTCCCATTAGGTGGCCAAAGTATTTGAGTTTTAACATAGCACAGTGCTTGCAAACCTTCACACACAACTTTCCAAGGAGAATACACAGATATTAACTCAAGAAAAATTGGGCAGGTGTGCTTTGCCATTTAGGAACAATGGTTACACAGCCCAGATACACAGAAAGGTACAAGACTGCTCTCTTACCGGAGCTGCTGGTTGTGCCGGTGCCATCATCCCAGTCATTGGCATGAGACCCATATCTTGAATCTTGAGGGTTTTCTGAAGATGTAAGAAATGTGATTAAACAACTGTTCATCCTTCTTCTACATTACTGGTGTAACAGTAGTTTGAAATGTACCCCCAAAGGGTCCCATTTCCATAGAAAAAGAGAGAGAAGGAAACCAGCAACACAAAGAACTATCCACTGCCCATATTTTTCCCCTGGTACAGTAACCACCCTATTTTCCAAGCAAACCAGGTACCTTCAGCAGCTCATTCAGGTCAGAGATCTCCAACAGGGTAAGGTTAGCAATGTCCTGAACTAGCTGTTGAATCTTGGGTGAGTATTCTTTGGGGGCAGTGTCCAGAGGAGGACTTGCCAGGACTTCACTTCGTGGTGAGCAGGTGGCCTTCAGCATCCTGAAAATGCAGGCTCGTGGCTGATGCTGCCTGTAGAGAATCAAAGAGGCTGTCACACTGCCTGTTTTTTAACATTAAAAATGTGTAAGCAGCAAACGCTTACGCGCATCAACTGAACAAGTAGAAGAGTTTTAGGGGAAATTATTATCATCATCATTTCACTTGTTTACCACCCCCCTAGCCATGAGACTCTCTGGAAAGCTTAATTACATTCAAAAACAAAACAATATATGAACAATACATAAAATTAATAAAATAGTACAATAAAAATAAAAAAGCAGTAACATCAACATTCACTTAATAAAACCAGTTGATCAATCAAATTAAAACAGTCATTTAAATAAAAATGGCTGGTGGATAAAATTGTAGCATGGGAATGCTGAAACTCCATGCAAGGAAAGTTGTATGATCATGGACTGGTGCATGTGCTACCAGGAAGAAAGAATTGGTTTTCAACAACAGCAAAGCCAGTTTTATCAGTAACCTGGAGTGTGGTGATGGCCATGGATTTGAATGATTTTAGACAAATTCAGGGAAATAAATGCCATCAGTGGCTGCTGGTTATGATGGCTATAGATTACCTCCTGTACGGTATGGGCATTTTACAAATGTTTTATTTATTTATTTATTATAGTTCTTGACCATCCATCAGCCCAAGGCTCCCTGGGCAGTTCACAGAAGCAAAAAATACAATATATATGAACGTCATTATAAAATACAGTAAAACAATAAAACAATGATCCACCCATCACAACCACAGCTAAATCAATCTTAGCGGTACAGTAATAAAAAACAGTCATACAGGCACACCTCTATGCGGAGCTGATTCCACTTGTGGGGAAACATTAAGAGGAGGGCGCTGTTATAATCTTGTTTGTGGGTTTCCTTTGGGTGGCTGGTTGGCCAGGTGCAAACAGAATGCTGGGCTAGATGAACCCTTAGTTTGATCAAGGATAGCTCCTTTCATGCGCCTGAGATGGTCAGTTTCAGATCTGGAGCTGCATGAATTCTCAGAGAGGAGGTATAACATGATTTGCCTTCATACTGATAGATATGTAATTAGGGCATCTCAAGGCAGGTAACTGCCAAAAGAGCAGGTGTACTGTACAGCAACGGGATTCTCCAATCTTGCAAGAGCTTTTTCAAAAAGACGAGTACAATGACGATAGCTGGGTTGTTGCAAGGATGATTAAAATAAGCCCTCTTTAAAACCTATCAACAGGTCTCTACCCTTATTGAAACAAACCCAGGGTCATGTACACTACAGAAAATGAGAACCCCTAACCCCCGGAGGATCCTTGCGAACGCCAGCCTCGGCCGCTGCTCAGTTGACTTGACTGAACCGCCACGGCCTCATCACGAGCATCAACGGAAGAGCGACATCCCATGAGATGGCCTTCCCCGCAGACGGCCGCGGCGGTGGGGAGCAGGGCGGGGACCCTCGCTATCGCCCCTCACGGGCAGCGGCGGCGGGATTTTGCTCGGCCTTGGGCTCAGGGGAACACGGGTGACCTCTACCCTTCCGCCGGGGCCGCTCGCTCCTCCGCCCCGTTTCCCTCCCTCACGGTGGCACCGCTCCTGCCTCATACCGCAGCAGCTGGCGGATCGCGGTGCCGACCCGGCCCGCAGGCAGCATGGCCATGGCGGCAGCTCCAGGAAGCAGCAGGAAGGAGACACCGGCGGCCGCCTCTTTATCCAGCGTGCGAGCGGCGGAGGGCGCCAAGGAGGCGCTCTAGCCGTAGCATCTTGCTGGTTAACCAACTGGCCCAATCTCAGTCGACTATACCTGTGGCGCTCTGCACGCCTAACCGTACATCTCGATGTTGAACGGACGTGACGCTTGAGATTCCGCACAGCGCCGTGCTAGGGATGGCAGCTCTATGGGGATGACCTGTAAGGGTCACCCAACAGGCGACGCAATTCAGCAGGGAGAAGCGTCCGGGCTTTGGTAGTTTTATTTTCGCGCGAAAAAGGCGCGCGGGTATTTTAAAATGGAGGCGACGTAGGTGAGAAGTGGAGATCTTGTATACTGCTTTTATCTTTTGGTTGTCTGATGGATTATGATCAACAAGTTAATTCTATCGCCATAAATATCGGGATAACATTTCCCTTTTTAAACATACTACATATGTTTATTGACATAGCCATTGCCAGGATGTTTGTTAGCAGCAGCTGCTCCAGTGTTAATAAGTACGACTAAAAATGTGATCGTCAGCATTGTAACACTATCAATTCTTTCTGCATGGAACTGCATTTGACCACACTGTTTACCACAGTTCCTCCCTCTCCCATTTTCCCACCCTCCCAATACAGTATACTGTATAAAAATATAAAACTTTCCATAACATTTTGTACATCTGATTAACTGTGCTCTAGTCCACAAAACTGTGTTTTTGTTCAGCGAACCTTTTGTTTTGGCTTATGAAATAGCCAAATGTTTAAATAAAGATTTTTTCAGAATAAAATTGATTACTCATCAAGGTGCTCATAAGACTTTTTCTTTGTAAAAGATGAACACTATTACCATCTGGAAATTATCTCTAGGAGGGACCTCAGGATGGGATTCAAAGCATGTAGATTATACTAAGATTTATACAGCACAGCAGTTAGAGGGGTAGTTAAAATTCTGTCTGGCAGATTATGTGGGGTTAATCCAGATATGAGTAGCAATGCTTGTATTCACAGATGTTTCCCAAACTCCTGGGAACTGAAAAGCAAACATTCCTAACAGTTAAACATGCTTATTTGAAAGCAAGCTGCACTGAATCCAATAGTACCTAGTTCAGAGTAAATAATAGAGTTTCAGAGCCAGTGTGGTGCAGTGCTAAGATGTTGGTCTGGGGTTCAGGAGATTTGGGTTATGGTTCTCATATGGCCATATGAGTCAGTCACTGGGTCAGTCACTGACTCTCAGCCTAACCACACAGGTTTGCTGTCAGGATAAAGTGGAGAGGAGGAGGATTGTGTACCTTCTTACCTTGAAAACCCTATGATGTATCATTTCAAAATGGAGCAAGAGATAGTGCCAGAAGGCACTCAACCAGCTACTGGGGAAGAGTAAAGGACAAGTATGAATAGTGCTGTTGCTAATGATGCAACTAGATCAAATCTGAAGGAAGTCTAGTGGCCAACATGCACAGAAGCAAAAGTCAAGTCTGATGCTGCCCAACACATACATTGGAAATGGTATGTGAGAAGTATGAATCAAGGCATACAAAGTGTAAAGCAAGAAATCGAACATTTAAACATCACAGTACTTGGTGTGAGCAAAGTGGACTTTGCTGGAAGTAGACTGGAATGGGACATTTTCAGTCAGACAAACACAATGTATTTTACTCCAGAAACAGCAAAGTCAGAAGAAACAGAGTGGCTTTAATACTGATGCAAGATGTAGTATAAGCAAAAGGGGCTATAATGCAAGGTCCCACCAAATAATATCAATCATAATTCTTGGAGAACCTATCAATATAACCATTATGCAAGTCTACACTCCCAACCACAGAGGTCAAAGAAAAAGACATCGAAAACCTCTAGGGAAGCACCCAAGAGGAAAGCAAAAAAATACCATAACGAGACATTCTGATACTCACAATATATTTTGTCTATTTGTTCACATTATATGCGGGATATATCATAAGAAAAGCTGGATTAGGATCAGAGGAAGGACTGAAAAATGGTGGAAGATGCATCAATTATTTAAGAGATGCAGATGATGCCATACTACCAGCAGAAATCAGGAATGAATTGAAACAACTGCTGATGAAAGTGAAAGAAGAAAGTGTGAAAAACAACTGAGGCTGAACATCAGGAAAAGAAAAATCACAACTGCAGAAGAATTATATAACTTTACTGTCAACAATGAAGAAATTGAAATTGTGAAAGACTTCACTTTGACTCGGTCATCAACCTAAAGGGAGGCTGTAGTCAAGAATACACTACTGTGTTTCCAATCACTTTGTATAGGTGTGAGAGCTGGACAGTGAATAAAGCTGACCAGAATAAAATCATGTGTTCATAACATGGTGCTGGAGGAGAGCTTTGTGAATATCCTGGACCAACATAAAGGTGCACAAGTGGGTCCAAGATCAAAACAAACCAGAACTGTCCTGGGAACAAAATGACAAAACTGATTTGTACATATTTTGGGCACATAATGAGAAAGTAAGACTCAGTGGAGAAGACAATCGTGCAAGGGAAAGTTGAAGGCAGAAGAAAGTTGGAAGACCAACTTTGAGATGGATAAATTCCATAAAAGCCACAGCCTTAAGATACAAGAGTTGAACAGGGGTGTCAAGGGCAGGCCATATTGGAGAACATTCATTCATAGGGCTGTCACTCCTTAGAACAAAGGGCTTCTTTCAGGAGATGCACAGACATTTATATTATTCTAACTGTGCTTGAGCTTAGCAACTGCTATTAAGAACTAGAAGTGCAGAGAAAAGCTTATCCTTTGTGCACAGAATATATTCTGTGGATCCAGAAAGTTTCTGAGGTATGCTGTACATCCAGAGTACCTGCAGTATACCACGGAACCCACCAAGTACAGTAGGGATAGGCAGCCTAGTGCCCTTCTGATTTTTGGACAACTTCTATAATCCTGGACCATTGGCCATGATGTCTGGGGCTGATAAGAGTTGCAGTCCAAAATATCTGGAGGGTAAGCAGATTGCCTGCCACTGCTGTACATCCAACATCTGGCAGGATCCCAAGCTGCATTGTCCTAAGGGTGTGGCATCAAGTAATACTGACTTCTTCTTAGCATATACTGCTCTTTCTTTTCAGTTGGACGGATTAAAAATATCCACCTTGGTAGTTTTCCTCATTAACAGGCAAATCCCATTTATTCCAGCAAGAAATACAGAACACCCCCTCACCCTACGTGACCCCACTGCAGTATTGAATGTGTTCCTCTACAACAGAAAGAAATTGTATGTTTTGTTCTCGCCCGTTAACTTTTTTCTCAGTGTGCGATGGTAGCAGTCAAGGTACCAGTGCCTGCACTGAAGTCATCTGAGTATCTCCCATTTAAAGACAGTTTCCCGTTCAGGGATAACAGAACCCAGGGATTCAAAGACAAAATGTGACTAAATAACAATAGCACCTTAAAGAGAAGCACATGGATTATGGCATGATTCTTCTGTGCTGGTCGATCATTAAGATTCAAAAACAGATCAGAAAACAGAATGGCATTGCAACGAAACACTTGCAGTCCTGCTGAAGCAGGATCAACACGTGCCTTTTCTCCACCTGACAAATGCATCTCAGTGTAATCTCCTTTGCTTCAATAAACCTAGCTTAGGCCATCTGAGTAGGGCTGGAGCCATCAGAAGTCAGGCGGCAGTCCAGGCAGAAGAGAGCACAGCAGTCCCTCTGCAGCAGCTACCAAGATGCTGATTTCTCCCATGGCTGAGAGGAACAAGGAGACCATTCTGGAAGTTCTGGCGGACTACGTGGATGACACAAGCTCGGCTTTTGGGCTCGAACTGGGATCTGGGACAGGGCAGCATGTGGTACATTTCGCCCAGGCCCTGCCCACCGTCACCTGGCAGCCCTCAGAGATGAGCCCAGCTTCTCAGCAGAGGTATGTGAGGCCTGTGAGGCCAGCGGACTGGTCACTGTAGCCTGTGCACCGTGCCCCCTTTATCCTGTGCTATCACAAGACAGAGAAGTGGCATTGCAAATATGCACTTCGTCATAGCTGGTCTCCGGGCAAACTGCACAGCATTTCTTGTGCTCAGTGGCCTGGAAATGCAATTCCAGGAAACCATGACACCCTTTGTCCCACTGCTCTCTGTAAGGCAAATGGCAGTCCGGTGCTTGATATACAAAAGGGGCTTGTTGGTCAAGTGTAACTGCTCGCTGCATTCCAGGAAAATTATCTAAGCGTGGCCAAACTGCTTTTAAGTGGTGCTCTCTAGAATCATTTGGCAAAAGCCCTATTTTGCCCAGCAGATACACCACTTAACTGGTGACTTTAATACTTGACACTGTTGCAGCTGCTGAGTCCAGTGGTGGGTATTATGAGTACCTTAGAAGTATTGTGGGTATTAGTGTGTGAAGTTACAATGAGAAATAAGGCATGTTGTGTAATTCTGTTATGAAAAATGCAGGATACGATTATACTGCATGGGAAAAATGTGAAAAGGAAAGATCTTTGTTAACTTTGATTGGGACTAGGCCCTGAGGTGTTTAAGGAGGCTTTGGATATTAAACCAATGGAGGCTCTACCTGTATTTTATTTTTAGCACAATGCTCCTGTATGTTTTACCAACATACAGAAGGACTAGGATATAATTGCAACAGAGGTTTTCTGCAAGGAGATAGTTGTACTAGGGCACACCCTCTTTAAAAAAAGGAAGTAGCACTATCCAGAACCATCCAGTGAAAAAACACTTTTGCCAATAGGTAGACTGGGATACTTTTTAATTCAAGAGAGGGGAAAACATAATTGTTGTGTATTAAAGCCCTAAACGGCTTGGGACCAGGATACCTGAAGGAACATCTCCTTCCTTATATGCCCTCATGCCCCTTAAGATCTATGGGAGAAGCCCTACTCTGGGAACCCTCTCTAAGAGAGGTAAAAAGGCCACCAACTAGGAGTAGGGCCTTCTCTGCTGTGGCGCCCAGACTCTGGAATGTACTCCCCAGAGAGGTACGCCTGGCGCCAAGTTTATACTCTTTTTGGCACCAGGTCAAAACCTTTTTATTTAAACAGTATTTTAAACTTTAATAGTTTTTAAGTTTAGTCACTCTGTTTTGTGATTTATTGTTTTGTTCTGTTTTATTATTTATTGAAATTGTTTTAATTGTCTTTTAAATATTGTAAGCTGTCCTGAGATCTTGTATAATAGGACAGCATACAAAAGTGTTTAATAATAATAATAATAATAATAATAATAATAATGTGATGATGATGATGATGATGTTGATGATGATAAATAATATTTGAAAAGGAATGCCACATGCAGCTGAATGGTTCCCTTCCTTCTCCACCCGCAAGAAACTCTTGGGAAAAACCAGGACAAAAACTGAGGGACATAGCTGAAAATGATATAGTTATGAGGGCAAGTTGTACAGTTTGTCACCAGTAACATCACATATACTGAGTACCTGTGATATATAGCCTGAATCCACACGGCAACTTCATCTGAAACCTTAGCACTTTCTCATGGGCTAATCACATTGTCCTGGCATCAAAAAGTTTAATATGAAAAAAATGTGGCCAACCCTTTAATTTGTAGCCAGAACTGGATGGCTGTAGTAGGACCATGCCAAAACAAGGCGAGTAGTTTCCTTTCAGATTTCCCCCCATCTTCAGTGCACACAGCTGCAGGGAGAGGTACTCTGTACAACCTCCATGAGCACCCTGCTGTATTACCTGACAGCTGCTTTGACTGGGGGATCAGGGGAAGTCCTTTCTCCCTTCTTTGGGAATGCATGCATTAAAAAAACTGTCACCCACATCTTTGTTCACAGCATCTCTGCTTACATCCGAGCTACCAAGGTGACCAATGTCCGAGAACCCCTCCCCATAGATGTATCTCAGCCGTGGGAGCAGTGGGCTGGCCTGGATCAAAGCTGCTGTGACTTTATTGTCATTATCAACCTACTGCATATGACCAACAAAGGCTTAGAGGTATAATATGGGACACCCCCATCAATGGTACTGAAACAAACCCTTGTAAAAGACGACTGTTTGGAGTCTCATTCAATGGGCAGTGCAGGTGGAGCAGGCATTTCATCTGACTTCCTATTTTCTGTTGCAGGGGATGTTTAAAGGCATAGGGCAGCTGCTGAAACCTGGAGGCATTTGTCTGGCTTACGGAGTAGGTACAAGAAAACCACCTGCTGATTATTACTGTTTCAAAAGGAATCTTTGGCAGGCCATTCAAGCCCAACTGAACGTCATAGTATCCAGAAGTTGCCTTCAAACTAGTTAGTATTTGGACAAACAGGACTTGAGGACCACCTTGACCTGACCAAAGACAGATTAGCCTGGGGAGATACCCACCATTTAGTTCCTAGTATTTTCACAGAGACAGACCCTCCTCCCTAACTTGCTGGCTGCCACAGGGACTACACAAACACTTCCTTGCCCTACAGGAAAATTTGATTTTCAAAAAAGTTTCTCCCTTTTCTTCCCTTCCCACACCACCAGTTTGTCCTCCACCTTTTACTATTTTAAAACTATTTTTATGTAAGGTGATTTGCCTAAAAAGCAGTACACAAATATCGTAATTTACGAAGATACGCAGTGCATATGCATCAATGAAGAAACTGGGATTGAGAGAGACAGGGTGCCTGTAAAAATTACATCCATAAAGGTCTTGTTGACTAGCAAAACTGCTCGGAGGCCTTAAGGCAGAGGGGCAGATTGTGTGGTCCTTCAGATGTTAGCTTCTAACTCCCATCAGCTGCTGCAAGTACGCCAAGAATCAGGACGTTGTAACCTAGCAGCATCCAGGCCACAGGTTCCCCACCCATTTAGGAGTAAGGCTGACAACACCCATTCAGGCTCTTTTTTCAGCTAAACATAGCAACTTTCTTTTTTATTTCAAAGCTCTGAGAAGCAGCTTGTTTTTGATCCACTGGTTTCCCAGAGCCTTCAATTTGTCCAAAACTTAGTAGTCTTACTGTTGACCCTTTGGCCTAGGAGTCTTACAGAGAACTCTGCCTCTTTGGTAACTCAGATATTAATTCCTGCTCTGCTTCTGCCCTACAGCCATTTGCCATCAACGGGATCATCATCCCAGAGTGCAACGTGCAACTAGATGAAATGCTTCAGGCCAGGTAGGTTAGCAGTGAAGGGCGACATCCTGCCCCACATTTCATGGTGGCTGCTAATGCCCTAATGAGATTAAGGCAGACTGCTTGGAAAGCTTCTTTTGATGTACTGCTTTGCCATTACACTTAATATATAATTGTATGGATAATGGGCAACACAGCAGGAATGCCTTTAGCTCATGTTCCTTGTCTTATGAAGCAATTGTGCTCAGCCATGAGTGGGCCGTCTCCCTTCCTCATGATCAGCTCCATGGATTTATTTTGCAGAACAGGGCGTATCTTCCACACTTAACGCTCTGCCTTTGCCTGGCAGGAACCCTGAGTGGGGGCTGAGAGATGTAGAGGAACTTCGTCAGCTGGCCAACGCCAACTTCCTTCGACTTGAGCGCATGGTAAGAGGCTGAGGCCAGCCCACAATATTGTAGGCTGGCAAGCAAATAGAGCTGGGCAAGCTGTTGGCATTCTTGGCCCCCATTCTGCTATTTCCCCCACTGGCCTTCATGTTGCTCCCATCCCTTCACCTCTCTCAGAGGAAAAAAACCCCTATTTTCTTTCCTCAGCTGGAGATGCCCGAATACACCAAATGCTTGATCTTTCGGCGGAGGGAGTTATGATCTCTGGCTGTTGAAAAACTAAAGTACAACTGCAGTATTATAGAAAAAAAGTGAGCATTACACTTGGAAATAAAAATGGACACTTCTGCTGGTTCTTTGTGGAACTGGGTTTTGGGGGTGGCTGTGGCAAACTGTTCTCTGCACACCAGCCTGATCAGTGCCCCCTGCATCCTGTCTCACAAGCCAGCAGCTGGCTTTGCAGAGTGCTGACATGCATATAAAGAGGCACAAAAAATAAAGAGCTATAAAGAGGCTGAAAAAATTTTAAATACTTTATTACTGCCACTGGTTCCATCCTGTCTACACCAGCCACTACGTATGAGAGACAAGTCTGCAAAAGCAGTGAGGATAAGTGGGGTAAAAGGAAGAAGAGGAAGAGGAGGGGAGATATAGTCTAGGGATAGATTGTGTTCAAGGTGGCGGGTTCTCCAAAGGTCCAGAGGGGACACGGAGAGCTCTTGAGTTCATGGGTGGACAGTGAAGGCCACTTGATTGGCAAGATGCATCCATAGGGTATCCTGGGGGAGGAGCACAGACCCGGGCTGTGCGTGGGGGATGGGAGTCGGACCGCACTCACTCTGGCTTTGGAGCATGCTCAAATGCCATTTCCCCACAAGAAGGCAGCTTCCTGTAGTGGTGCAACTTATGGGAGACTGCTTGGTGCTCTGCTCTTCTCCCCAGCTAGTATAAGGCTGGATGGGGTCAGGCTGTGCCAAGGTTTCTCTCCAGCTGAGTAGCAGCGTGTACAATCAGACACAGCTGTCCCTTGCTTCTACTCAGGTGCTCTCTTGGTCACATTTTTGCCTGGGACAGTGAGAGAAGTTACAGGTAATGGTGGGAGTCTCCCTAGGGCAGGGGCTCCACTCGCCCTTCCCCACTGTGGGGAAGGCATAAAGTAACAGCGATGGCTGGCAAGTACAGCAGTGACCAACTGATGATAGTGTTACAATGTCGTAGAAACCCACCCTCCCCGCTTCCTCGTCAGCTAAGAGATTAGTCGAAGGAAATGAGCTGAGCCTCTCCACTGCCCCCCTGTGCCTGCTGCACCTGGGCGGGCGGCTGCTGGGGAGGTGGCGGCTGCTGTGGTGGACCTCCAGGGGGTGCCATCTGCAAGGAGACAAACAGGCGGGTTAGCGAGAAGCGCACACGGCAAAGGAAGTGCTTCCGTCGGAGTTACTGCAGCGAAAGCCAAGCATCTGTTCCCACAATCCTTGGACTGGCAGAGGGAGCGGCAGCAAAATGATACTGAGCTCTAAGAATTCAGGGGCTCCTCCTGACCCAGTACGAATGCAGCAGATATAGAATGGATGATCCCAAAGAAGATGGCCAAAGACCTACCTGCTGATACATAGGCTGCTGTCCTGACATGTAAGGCTGCTGGGGTGGCAGGCTGCTCAGTCCCGGTTCCTGGCCAGGGAGGGTCGACATGAGGTTCTGGCAAGAAGAGAGGGGATCTAAGCTTCCATTCACTGATAAAAACGTAAGAAGAATCATGCAGGATCAGACCAACCCAGCCTAGCCCAGCATCCTGCTCCCTTGGGGCCAGCCAGCAAGAGGGGAGTGCAACAGCTCCCTCTTGCCCATACGCTGTGGCGGCTTGTGCGCAGGCACACTGCCTCTGATAGGGAGGCAACGTGCAGCTAACTCCAACAGGAGCCACTGATAAAAGAGTCTTGTCCTCCACGAATCTCTGCAGTCCCCTATTAAAGTGGCCCAATGGTTCCATCCTGTACAGGGGGCAGCTTCAGCCTTAGGAGTGGCCTTTCCTGCCTCCACACACAAGCAATTAAGAATCTGTCTCCAGCCCTTCCTGCTAGCCAGCCTCACGTTCACACTGCAAAGCAGAGAAGTAGACAGAGCGACCCCGCCCAGTACTTTCGTACCTGCATGTTGTAGGGCTGGTAGCCCATAGAGACAGACTGGTTGCCCATATAACCCATTGTACCACCAGACTGCGGAGGAGCCTGTGTCAAGGCGGGGATAGCCTGGGTTTGCGAAGGGGCAGCTGCATTCTGCACAGTAAAAAAAGGCAGGAGTCAGGAAAAATGCAGATTGTGGGGCAAACTGGCAGCAAGAATTTCAGATTATCTCAATTTCCAGAGGAAGTCAGGACAACTTTCACCACATGGAAAAGAAGTTACGTGAGGACGAAACCTTTTGCTTCACACAAGCTAGTAAAATTGGTTATGTTTGTTCCCTGCCTACTCTCCAAGGAGCTCAAGATGGCAGCCTTGGCTCCCCCTTCTATTCTCTCATTACGCCAATCCTGTGAGGTAGCTTAGGCTGTGACTGTGTGACTGGCCCAAGGTTACCCAGCAAACTTCGAAGAAGGGGTTTGACCCTGGTCTCCCCAATCCCAGGCAACACACGGACCACTCGGCTACACTAGCGGTACTCTCTGCTCCTCGATGTATCATGCTGGGTTCTATTCACCTGATGGGGCAGGGAAGGGGTTACTCTGGGCCAAATGTACCTGATAGCCCTGGGAAGGTGTAGGCTGGTAGGAGGAATAGGCAGGATTCGTGGTGGGCACTGCCTGCCCTTGTGGAGCGGTCTGCGCACTGTTCGTGCCTGCTGAGTACATGTAGGTGCTCACCATGCTGGAATCTGAAACACAGGAGAAGGCTGAGAGAAGGACTTGCTGCTGGGGTCCACTCAACAGTCCTGCTGCCACGCTGGAAGCTCCTTTCAGATGCTGTGGCTAAATCCACACTGTCCCCCGTAGCGCCGGCCTGGTCTCTTACCTGTTCCTGCCACAGGCATTGCTGTGTAGGGCCCAGTGCTGCCCTGGGCTGGCTGGCTCATGTATACTGTGTGCATTGGTGAGCCCTCCACAGAGCCTGCTGGGCTGAAGGTGCCTGGGAAGCTTGTAGGGCCCGACGGCTGGTAGATCACCCCACCAGCAGCGGGCACAGCTTGCAGCTAGGGGAACAAGAAACAGTATTGGGGCAGTATTGACTTGGCTCCTGCTACCGAGGGGAGGGGAGGGGAGGGGAGGGGAGGGGAGGTAAAAAGAATCCTTGCACCTTCTGTCCTTTATACCTGAGCATATGGTAGGGAAAAAGCAGGCATCTGTGCCCTCATCTGGATAGTTTGCTTTTGTTGCTCCAACCGCAGCTGGCGCTCCTTCTCCTGCTCCTGAAGGCGCTGGATGGCCAACTGCCGTTGCATTTCCAGGTATTCCTGCAGGTTGGTGATGCACGCCGTACATTAGGCGCCAGAGCCAGCACTCTTCAAGCCCTGAGGGACTCAAGAGCTCGCGGGCCCTTTTCTGGTGGCAGCCACCCAACCCCTCGCACCGGCCACACTTGGCACACACTGGTATGGGCTTCACCTGCTTCTTTTGTCGCATAATCTCAAGCTTCTGGGCCAGCTGGATCTGACGCTGACGCTCCGCTTCCTCGGCAGCACGGCGCAGCTTCTCTCTGTGTTCGTCCCGTAGAGCATTCAGGGCTCCCCGCGCATCCCGGATCTGGGCAAGTTTATCCTGGAGTCCTTCATAATACACTGTGGGGAGTTAGAAGAGAGGTAGTGCCAAAATCTTGTGATCAGCAGCCCAGCTTTAGCCATAGCTCCTTGGGACCCACAGGATTTGCAGGTCCCACCAGAAGGAAAGCGGGGGAAGGATCCTCAGGAAAAGCTAAGTTACAAACCTACACATATTGGACAGTCCTATAGCTAGGGCCTTTCCCTGTCTAAACATCCATAAGAGCATGCCTGAAACCATCTTCCTCCCTTCCCACCCCAATTCTAAAAGCAGACCTATGTCCAGGTGCTCCTCAGAACTACAGGAGAAAGTCAGCTACAATTCATCTGGAGGAGAGGGGATCCTAACGCTCCCACATGCCCTTCCCACAGGTCTCTGACCACATCCAGGCTTACAGCGGCGCTCATCCAGCTGGTTCAGCAGCTCCAAGAGCTGGGGGTGCATGCTGTTGATGGACTGGAAGAGTGAGAGAACCGCCGAGTCGTTGGTAATGCTCCGGCCCCGCAGGTGGTTGCTCTTCATGCGGTTGACGAAGGTGGTGACAGCATTCTGCAGAGCCTTGAGGAACTGTTCATGGGTCTCATCCGTCTCACCGTTTTGGTACTGCTGCTGGGGGAAGATGGGAGACCATTAACTGGAAGCCCAAATTCCTAGTGGCCCCCAGCTTACAGTTCGTTAAGAGTGGCTTCTGTTACCCAGAATTAACTCTCTCTCTGCCTGCCTACCTGCCTTTTTCAAAGAGATGCATTTGCTAGGGAACTGGACCCCTCCCCCTCCAACCCATGAAAGGGCAACATGGCAAGTGGGACGTACCCAAAGCTTGGCCTCCCTTGGCAATGCTGCTTCTGCTGGAGAAAGGAGCAGCAGCTGCTCTCGGCGTGACAGCAAACAGTGGCCAATGCTCATCCAGACTCCCCAAGCGTACAGGAGAGGGCACTGTTCTTACCTCTACCACAGTAAGCGGAGCAGGCTGGACCTCAGTGGCTTGGCTGGCTGGCTCCCCCATGGAGAGTGGGGCAGAGGGCGTGGGGCTCTTGCGGACCTCCTCTTGTTTCTTTTCCCAGTAGTTGCGGTTCAGGTACCGAGCCAACTGCCAGGGAAACAAAGCAACACTGTTCTCCGTGGTCAGGGCTTCACGCACACCCCGCAGGGACTGGCTAATGAAGGGGGTCTTACCTCAGGATCAATGTCCTCGGCCAGAGGTGCAGAGGAGTTCTGGAACAAGACACACAGAAGAGTCACAACCCCTGTGCAGAGAAGCATCACACCACCTAGCTCTCCTGAGGTGTTAAATCTGAAAGGGCGCCTATTTTGTGCTTGAAGGCACGAGGGACCTGATCGGCAGGAGAGGTGCTGGTCCAGATGGCTTCTGGGCCTTGGCCTGCAAGTGCCAAGCTGCTTCCCTGATGGCAAATCTCTCCTGACAGGTGGCTACTTACCACAGGTGAGGAATAGAGGGTGCTGACTGGAGGGGCTGAGGAGGTGATCGGGGTTGGCTCTGCCTTGGGGTATGTGGAATATGTGCTTTTCTGTCTCTGCAGAGGAAAAACAGAATAATTTTGGGGGGTGCTTTTCTGCACAGCAACCTGCACAGCAGGCCACGAACCACTTTTCTCTGTCGAACAGCATTAACTGTGTGGGAATTCCTCATCAGTACAAAACACAAACCATCCTTTCCTTCTCCTCTGCCTCCGACTGGGAGAGTGCAATGGCCAGCTGCAGCTCCTCTTCCTCCTGCAGAGCTGTTTCATCGCGCTTTGGAGGCATCTGCCGGCAAAACAAACAGCAGGCAGTGTTGCCAGCATAAGGAGCTGGCTGGCGAAACTCAGGAGCCATCTTCCACAAGAATAGCCAAGTGTTTACCTGGGACTGCTGCGAAAGAGGGCTGGTCAAGTACTCGGGAGGCAGCTCTGTGGTGGCGCTCCCCTTTCCTTCCGCTTTCCTGTGCAGACAGAAGGGCCAAGGTCACATCCACGGCTGAGCTGCTACGTTCCTAATCGGGCTGGGCAGCGGGAGGGAAAGGAAGGCCCCACCAGGTGTGACATGGTGACCTGTGATAAGCCTATTAGCTTTTGCTATTAGCGCTTGCCCTGGCAGCTGCATTTACAGCACAGAAGGAGCGGTCAGTCCATTCAGTGACAGGGAGAGCAGCGTTCACACAAGCAGAAAGTTGCGGCTGGACCACCCTGGCCCAGAGCTGCAGCACGAGAAACTCTCTTGGTAAGCTAAGCTCCAGCACTTACTTGTTGAGATGTTCGTAGCAAGGCTCACACACCCTCACCTCCTTCTCGATGCCAAACTTGGGGATGGTGGAGTACTTGGACGAGCACTTCCCACAGAAAATCTGCCCACAAGCCCGACAGTGGTGCTGCGAACACAGCAGAGAGCAGCGGTCAAGCATGGCAGCCAGTCAGCATCTCCCCAAACAAGCATCCCTGAGGGAAACAGAAGCCTCAAAGCAATGGCTGCTGTTCCTCCCCCATCCGTAGGAGGTGGCCCAGAACTGGGGCAGGGAGCTGCCGCACTCACCTTGCGAGTCACCACCCCAAACTGGACTCGGCACCGGTGACACTCCTCTGCATCTACCCAGTCAGGCGCCTGCCACAAAGAGAGAGAGCCATTACTGGGCAAGAAGGGGGTCCTCCAAGTCTTGGGCGCTGCTAAGGCTGCAAAGAACATGCCCCAAAGAATGGGACACAGGTAGGGAAAATGCACTCAAATACTTTGTGCAGCATAAAGGGGATGGTTAAAAAGTCCCCTGGAAGTTCCCTCCTTGTGCAAGCATCTTGGCTCAGAAGTTTGAAGGTGCTGAAGAATGGATGGACTGTTCTTCTCTGACTTCCCCCCACACATGCCAGTGAGCAATGACTGCAGGGGCAGAGCACTGCTCAGGGGGAGCTGTGATGCAACAGAGATGAAGGAAGAAGGGAGGTGTCGGAAGAGTTTCACACTGAAAAATATGTATTTATTTTCATTAAAAAGCAGTACGATATGTTGAAAAGAAAGAAAAAAATATATAGGAAAAAGGATACCAAGGGATATTATACAAATATAGCATACAATATCAGTGTCTAACAAGTTCACAAAAAAGCAAAAATTTCTGCCCTGGTTTAGTCGCATTTAGGTCATTTAATTCTTGAACAAAATTCTCAAACAGATTAATCTAATTTAAAAAATAATTGCAGATAACATAATAGCTTTAGTATTAAAGGAAAAAATCAGTGCCAATGTTTTTTTAAGATTCTGTTTTCTTAATGTTAAATTGCTCGTAGTAAGGTTTCCATTTTTCATTAATTTTTTTTGGCAGGTCTTCTATTTATATCATTGGTTAGTTTCACCATTGTTGCATACTCAGTTAGCTTATTTTTCCAATCTTCAATAGTTGGATAATCTTCAGCTTTCCACTTTGCTCTTGTTTCATATTTAACAGCTCCTAAAGTACAGGTCCTCTTCATGGATCACTGCCTTGCCATGGCGAAGGGGCTTGTGTAGCTCAATGAAGCTATGAGCTATGCAGTGCAGGGCCACCCAAGACGGACAGGTCACAGCAGAGAGCGCTGACAAAACGTGACCCACTGGAGGAGGAAATGGCAACCCACTCCAGTACCCTTGCCATGAAAACCCCATGGACAGTACCAAAAGACAAAAAGATATGGCGCCGGAAGATGAGCCCCTCGGGTCGAAAGGTGTCCAGTGTGTTAATGCGGAAAAGCAGAAGGCTAGTTCTAGTAGCACCAGAAAGAATGAAGCGACTTGGTCAAAGGTGAAAGGACACTCAGTTGGGGATGTATCTGGTGGTGAAAGGAAAGTCTAATGCTGTAAAGATCTATACTCCACAGGAACCTAGAATGTAACATCTATGAATCAAGGTAAGCTGGACATGGTCAAACATGAGATGACAAGACTGAACATCAACATCTTAGGGATCAGTGAACTAAAATGGACAAGAATGGGTAAATTTAATTCAGATGACCATCAGGTATACTACTGTGGGCAAGAATCCCTCAGAAGAAATGAAGTAGCCTTCATAGTCAATAAAAGAGTAGGAAAAGCAGTACTGGGATACAATCTCCAAAATGACAGAATGATCTCAGTTCGAATCCAAGGCAAACCATTCAACATCACAGTAGTCCAAGTCTATGCCCCAACCACTGGTGCTGAAGAGGCTAAAGTTCACCGGTTCTATGAAGTCCTACAGCACCTTCTAGAATTAACACCAAAAAATGATGTCCTTATCATCATGGGGGATTGGAATGCTAAAGTAGGAAGCCAAAAGATAACCAGAATAACAGTCAAGTTTGGCCTTGGAGTACAAAATGAAGCAGGGCACAGGCTGGTAGAATTTTGTCAAGAGAATACGATGGTCATAGCAAACACTCTTTTCCAACAACCCAAGAAATGACTCTACACATGGACATCACGAGACAGTCAACACAGAAATCAGAATGACTATGTGCTCTGCAGCCAAATATAAAAAAGCTCTATACCAGTGATGGTGAACCTTTTAGAAACTGCAACCCAAAACCCACTTATTTATCACAAAGTGCCAACACTACAATAAAACCTGAATCCTGAGGTTTTAGTTTAGAAAAAACAACTCACAGCCAGTCCAAGGAAATCTCTCTCTCTCTCTCTCCTTGGCAGCGCACTGACCTGCCATACGAAAGCTTGAACGAGTCGTGGCTACTCTTTTCTGAGCATGCACATGGCCCCTATGTGTGCTGCTATCCAGTGCTTTGCTGCTAGGGTGATGCTGGGACAACTTGGCTCGCATGCCGACAGAGAGGGCTCTGCATGCCCACTGAGGTATGACTGCAAGGCGATCAAACTGGTCAGTCCTAGAGGAGATCAACCCTGACTGCTCTTTAGAAGGCCAGATACTGAAGATGAAACTCCAATACTTTGGCCACCTAATGAGAACGGAGGACTCACTGGAGAAGACCCTGATGCTGGGAACAACTGAGGGCAAAAGGAGAAGGGGACAGCAGAGAATGAGATGGCTAGATGGAGTCACTGAAGCAGTCGGTGTGGACTCCGGGGGAAGGTGGAGGACAGGAAGGCCTGGAGGAATGTTGTCCATGGGGTCGCGATGGGTCGGACACGACTTCACAACTAACAACCACATTGCATGAGTCTCTTCAGATAGATCCCCCATTGCTTGAGCCTAGAGCAGATCTCATTGGTCCCTCCATTGCTTGGATGTGACTTCGCAGCTAGCAGTAAATGTACAGGTGCTACAAACATTGGGACTGATTCATTTGAAGCTCTCAGCATTAGAAGTAACATCAAGACAGATTATAATTACAGCAGAAAAGTCCAATTACTTTCCCTTTGCAAGGAGTGCCTTTTCCCTGCTTTGGGACACTCACCCTTTCTGCTGCAAACATGGCATCGCTCTCCTTGAATTCTGGAAACACATGACCTGAGGGTAGATCAAAATTGTCACTCTACTGGACTCCTGTCATGAGTGCCTGGGCACTTGGGGTAGCGGGGCTGTATGACAGAGCGCAAGATTCTGTTTGCAGCTCTGCTTCTTAAAAATGCATACATGCTGCTAACCTGACCACAAGCTTTCTCCTTTCCAGTGGGAGACCACATGACATCCCACGGTACTGAATGCTTGCTTAGCACAGCTAACCCTGCAGAATAGGTTTGACTCACAGTGCCACAACTGACGAGCTTGGCTGTCACTGTTCCTTGAGAGCACAGATGGATAAGCTGCAGCTCTTAGCTAGTCTGCGTGGCCCACACAGTCCTCAGAAGCCTTGCCAACTATCCCCACAGCCCGTCCCCTGATCAGCCTTGAGCTAGGCTGCAGGAAGTGAAACAGCCATCATGACTTCTGGAAAGTTAGCAGCAAGAACGGTCACCATTATCAGATCACCAATGGCTCTACAAAGGGACTGTCTGAAAAAGAGACACCCTCCTGATTCTTCCTTGGATTGCTGGTTGGATACACTCCGGATCTCCCTACCTTCACCACATCAGGCACCCCCCCCCCACACACACATACTTCATTCAACAGGGGGCTCCTGTATCTTTTCTTACCTTCCACCTTCATGATTTGATATGTGTCCTGAACCACCTTGTATTTGGGCTCGTTGCGGAAAGCATGAGCCCACGCCTGGATCAAGTACAGGATCTTGTTGCGAACATTGGCCTCAACTTGTCTCTGTAGGTGTAAGAACAGGCAAGATCAGGCATTATGCCGAGAGGGAATGAATCTCCAATCTTTAAGCAAGCCGCATAAGCAAAGTTTAGATGTAAAATGACACACAGAGCAATGCTTCATTCCACATAATACCAGGAACCCAAGTTCAACTTTCCCTTCTTCATTCTGTGCCTATGTCTGACAGGGCCAAAGGGAGTTTTCTTCCAAATGTACTCTTTCCAGAAAGGCCCTCTATATCCAGTCTAAATGTTCTGCTTTATGAGACCCAACAAGTTAAACCGTGCATGTGGAGCTGAATGCAAAATCTTGAAGAAGAAATGTTGTCCCCTCAATGGGAAGTCCTAACTATGAAGGATATAAAATTCACTGCTAGTCAAGCATTGAGAGAAAGTTGGTATAAGATGTACTTTTGGTGATATACTACCCCAAAAGAGGTACAGAAAATGGACAAGAATTGCAATGGAAAATGTTGGAAATGTAGAGGTTGATGGGACTTTTTACCAAATCTGCTGGGCATGTGACAGAATCAAAGATTTTAGAAGCTGATACAAGTGGAAATGCAGAAAATACTTAAAATCAACTTTCCTAAATGCCAGAATATGTTACTGAGTATCATAGCAGAGATTCTTCCAAAGATTATGTAAGAGTTATTCAAATATTCTGAATATTTTCTATTCTTTCCCTCCTCCTCTTTTTCTCTTAGTTTTATGATGTGCTGTTTTATATTGTTTTAATAATTGTTGTTTTATTATTGTACTATTGTAATATTTTACACTGCGTAAGCCATCCTGAGCACTTGTCGGAAGGGCAGGATAGAAATGTTTGTAATAAATAAATAAATATACGATAACAGTGACAAAACTAACAGTTGCTACAGAGTGGAAAGCTGAAGACAGACTGGCTGTTGAAGATGGGAAAAACAAATTAGCTGTGTGCAACAATGGTGAAACTAGCCAATTATATTAAGAGAAGACCAGCTAAATAATTTATTGAAAGATGGAAAGCTTCTTATGAGCTATTTAACTAATGCTAAAGAAAACAGAATCTTCACAAATGTCAATATTTTTATTATAATATTAAATCTATAATTCACAATTCATTTTATAGTCTAGATTAATCTTTGATTAAGAATTGAATGATTTAAATGGGACCATAGCAGGCACAATTCTTGCCTTTTTATGAACATGTTCAGATACTGAAATTACATGCTATATTTCTGGAATATCCCTTGGCATCTTTTACCCATCTATTTCTTTTCTTTTTTCCTAATGTACTTTGTGAAAATAAATATTTTTTAAAAAATGTTCTGCTTTCAAATGATTGAAAGCACAATTCTTACCTTATGAACATTTAAAACCATGAGGCTCTAATTAATGTACCAGACTAGAAAGATGTAACTGAAAGTATACATGTCTAGATGCTCCAGATGATAGATCCTATCATCTTGTGTAAATTTGCTGCCTTTTCTTGCCACTGGGAACTCCTCTGTATTAGGGAAGAAGCAGATGAGAGGACATTCTTGGTCCACAAGAGTAACTTGTGCACATTGCTGATAAGGCTAAACTCAAAAACTGAGAGGGAAAATGATCTCACTTGCTGGGGAGTAAACCACATCCTTCTGCAAGCACCTGATACGCTCTGCCACTGAACTATAATGGCATTATTATTCTTTAGTAAGAATACATTTAATATATGCTTTCAAGTGTTGGATCAATAGCACTATAAGCAAACTAAACAAAAATTATTCTAATATCAGTTGAAGATGCGATGCAATCAATTAACACTTCTGCATATATTGTACTGGGGTTGTTCGCATGCCAAACGAAGGCTGGAACAGCCATGAGGTATGCAAGGGCTCTTTAACTCACGTATAACCCTTCACCAGCCAGGTTTGCATGGCACAACATTCACAGGGAAGGCTGAATATTCAAGATGGCACCACAGCTCATCATGGCTTAAATAAGCCACAAGAAGTCACAGCACCTTAGACCTGAATTTAAGGTACGAAGTTAACAGGATAGGTGCCAACAGTGGAAGAGCTGAGCAGGGAGGAAACCATAATGCTCTAGAAACCATTTGAACATGAACAGGTAGATCAGGTAGACAATGTAAACTGTAGTAACCATACAGGATTACCTGTTGTATTGTGTGAGCCCAGGCCTAAGAGAAATAGGCTTCTGCCCTTATTACATATGTAAAGCCAGAGGAATAAATTTCAGCATTTTGGCATCTGTGCTTGCCTGAAGTGCCTGATCCTGCCTAATCTTGGAAGCTAAGCAGGGTCAGGCCTGGTCAGAACTGGGATGGGAGACTTGAGTGTATGACTCTATGATTATTGCTGTAAACTGCTCAGAGAGCTTTGACTATGGGCAGTATAAAAATGTTAATAATAATAATAATAATAATAATAATAGCAGAAGCAGCAGCAGCAGCTGCAGCCATACTAGGTCTGACCAATTAGCCATCCATTCTAGTATTCTGATCACATGGTTGCAAACTTGATGCTTGAGGATCCCCCAAACAGGATGGTACAAGAACTCCATCTGCCCAAGCTCCTCAGCAACAGGTGTACACCCACATACTGCCTCTGGTAATGGGGGTAGCACATAGCCAAGAAGGCCAGTAGCCATTGATAGTCTTCTCCAAGAATCTGCCCAATCCCTTTTCAAAGCCATCCAAATTGGTGGCTATCACTACTTCCTGTGGCAGTGAACTTCATCATTTAACTAAGCACTGTGTGAAGAACTTCCTTTTATCTGTTCATAATCTCTCACCAATCAGTTTCTTGGGATGACCCCAGGTTCTAGTATTATGGAAAAGGAAGAAGTTTCCCTCTCCACTTTCTCCATACCATGCATAATTTTAAACACTTCTACCATGTCTTCCCTTACCATTTTTCTAAGCTAAACAATTGAGTTGTTGCTACCTTTCCTCAAAGGGGAGTTGCTGCAGCCCCTTGTTCATCCCAGCTGCCCTTCTCTGCACTCTCTCCAATGTAATGATGTAATTTTTCAGGTGTAGCTACCCGAACTGTACACGACATTCTAAGAGCGGCTGCACCAAAGGTTTGTATAAAGGGAGTACAAACGTGACAGTTTTATTTCCAATTCCTTTCCTAATTAGGCCCAGCATGTAGTTTGCCTTCTTTTACAGCAGCTTACACACTGGGTCAACATTTAATTGAGCTGAACATCAAGACCTCAAGATCCTTTTTTTTGCACACTCATGGCCAGCTCTGATCCCATCAGCCTATACTTGAAGCTGGGAATTTTTGGCTCAACATGCATCACTCCACCCAGCTTACATTAAGTAAATCTCAATCTGAGGTGAGTCTTATATAAGAACCTGGATGATGATGATGATGATGATGATGATGATGTAAAACTTAAGAAGCAGTTAGAGTAGTACAATCTGTGTTGGGCCTGGATTCTAAAAATCCAGGTCTGGGTCCCTTGAAGTACAGGCCTGCTTCGCATGTGAATAGAGCTGCCATATCGTGACTTTGCTTAGCTCATTTCTCTGTTATCATTTTCTGGCCCTGAGAAAGATGACCAGAGGATGGGCATGCAGCTGTCCAATGTTTTGAGAGAATGCACCTCTCAATGCACCTCCTCTCTCGAGAAGCTACTATTGAGCTTGTGCATTGTTATATGCTTCGTTTAATTAGCTTATGCTATTGCATGTTATGAGAATCTTAGAAACATAGAAACTGAGCAAGTCAGAAGGGGTCTCCCAGGCCATCTAGTCTGACCCCTGGCTCCAACCAGCTCCACTCATGACATGCCTGCCATGTGCCTGTCCTTGAACAGCCTCACCGATGAGGCCTCAGCCACCTCCCGTGGAAGCCCACTCCATACACTAGGGGTCCTAACGGTCAGGAAGTACTTCCTGGCATCCAAACTGAACCTTGGTTCCCTGAGCTTGACTCTGTTGGAGAGTGTCCTGCCTTCCTCTGCAGGGGAGAACAGGTCTCTACCCATTTGATGGACACTGATGGAAAATCTTAAGTGTAATGGCTTGTGGCCGGCTAACAAGGATGGGAAACTTCATGTGCTATACAGTACTATGAGAAGCTGCATATAGTATACATTTTGGCTTGCTAACAAGATAAACGTGTAGTTTCACACAGCTTAGTCATTGTCCCTGTGTAACAGCCAGCCCCTTTCCCATGAGTAGTCTAAATAAGCAGGCCATTTTCCCTTTCATCTTGTTGAGACTACTACCTTGGAGGGGGCTTTACTGACTGTCCGTTCCAGCTGACTGAAGCCTGCTGCATAGGCTCATCCATGCAGAGCATTGTAAGCGCCATGCTTGTTAAACCCTTTGCAAAGCTAGCTAATAATTTGCTTGCTGGAACAATAAAGCCTCTTTGTAAGTAAACCTGGACCTGGCATGCCAATTTCTTGGGATCACTCAAACCTTTAACACATAGCCAGGCCAAGACACATTCTCACTCCTTTAATTAAGGCCTTCACTGGCTTAGCCATTTTACAGCTTTGCCATGGTAAGATGAATCTCTGAGTGTTTGAAAAATATATCATTTTCCCCCAGTGCATTCTTCTAAGCTTCTTAGGCTTGTTGTACAGGCAATCCACTGTGCGCAGACTACTCCGGTTCCTGAGAAGTGGGTAAGTATAAGAAGGACGTAACAGTCTGCTCCATCTCACCTGAAGCACCCCTAGCACCTTAACAGAAATAAATTGCCCAGACACTGTTACCTTCAGCAATTCTTTCAGCTCCTCCATAGTCTGTTTGTTAGCCACTTCATCATGGACTGTCTGACCACAGTTCTTTACCACTGATTCCAAGACCTACAAGGGAAATACACAAGAGTTCCTGACCAATCTTCCCATACCTGACGTCTGATATGACCTTTCTCTTCACATCTAACAGGCATAAGGGAAAGGAACCTTCCCCCTGGTAATCAGTGTGCAGAGTGTGCAACGAGGGTTTGTGTGCACTTCTACTCACCTCTAATGCATAGAGAGCCACGTGAGGATTCTTGTCATTGACTTTCTTCTTTATGGCACCCACAGCATATTTAGCCCTGCATGACAAAAGGCAGAGAGACTATCAGATCATCTGAAGGAGGACCTGCAAGGAACAGCTGTCATTTTTAAACCACTCCAACATCCTTGCTTCTGTGGAGCATAACAGCCGCATACTCCTAAAATGTGCCAACTTAGTAGCAGAGGTGGGGTGTTAATACATAAGCCCTAAGGACAGTCATTTAACTTTTCTAAAATTGGCCAGTTAACTCATAAAAATTATTTACTTTCAAGCTATTTCATATTATACACATCTGTGGAGCTTTCATGTTAAAGCAATAACTGTTATATAGTGAAGAAATGTATTTCTTTTTCTTCTCAGTCACAGTAGTCATAGAAAAATGCTTGAAAACATTTGCAGCGCTTTCCAGTGTTCCCATTCCCTCCTTTGTCAATCACAGAAACAGAATGAAGAAACAAATGAAATTACACAAGTATAACTATTACACATTTTTCTCTTGCACTAGGGCTGAATCTTCTTTATTATTTATTTATTTAAAACATTTTAATGCCGCCCCCATTGCAACAAAGCCTTGGGGTGGCTCACAACAAGAAAAAAATATACAAATATAACAAATTATACAATAAAAATATTAAAATCCGGTGCATCTCGGCTTAAAAGATTTAAAATCCTATAAATAACCAATAAATTAACCATTAAAATAAGTTTTAAATAAAAAGGTCTTAGCCTGGCACCGAAAAACAAATAACAACGGTGCCAGGTGGACCTCTCTGGGGAGCGCATTCCATAGATGAGGCGCCACCACAGAGAAAACCCTCCTCTGGGTACGCACCCTCCTAATATCATTCACAGAGGGTTCCCGGAGAAGGGAATCTGTTGCTGATCTCAAGGGGCAGGAGGGCATATATGGACGCAAATGTTCCTTTAGATACCCAGGAACCAAGCCGTTGAGGGCTTTATAGGTCATAACCAACACCTTGAATTGGGCCCAGACTTCAATCGGGAGCCAGTGGAGCTGACGGAGAACTGGGGTTATATGAGAACAACGCCCAGTCCCCGTCAGCAGCCTGGCAGCTCTATTCTGCACCAATTGAAGTATCCGGACCGTCTTCAAGGGTAGCCCCACGTAGAGCGCGTTACAGAAATCTAATCGGGAAGTTACCAAAGTGTGTGCCACTGTCGGCAGGCAGTCATACTCCAGGAAGGGACGCAGCTGATGGATCAGCTGAAGCTGAAGGAAAGCGCTCCTCGTCACCGCCGTCACCTGAGCTTCTAGAGACAGCTCAGGGTCGAGGAGCACTCCTAAGCTGCGAACCCTGTCCCTCAGAGGGAGTGCAACCCCATTTAGGACAAGGCCCAAGTCCCCCATCCTGAGCCCCAAACAACCCACCAACAGGACCTCCATCTTGTCTGGATTGAGCTTCAGTTTATTGGCCAGGCACCCGTATTTACCTTGGCCAGGCACCGGTTCAGCACAGCCACTGCCTCACTTGGATTGGTGGCAAACGAGAGGTAGAGCTGGGTATCATCAGCGTACTTATGATTCCACAGCCCACACCTCCTGATGACCTCTCCCAGCGGTTTCATGTAGATGTTGAATAGCAAGGGGGACAAAATGTACCCTTGTGGAACTCCATGGCCTAACTGCCATGGTGCAGAGCCACAGTCCCCCAGCACCACCTTCTGAAATTGGCCGTTGAGATAGGAGCGGAACCACCGCCACGCGGTGCCTCCAACTCCCAATCCCGCTAGCCTATCCAGAAGGATACCATGGTCGATGGTATCGAAAGCCGCTGAGAGGTCCAGAAGAACTAACAGGGATGCACTCCCCCTGTCTCTCTCCCTGCACTGGTCATCGTACAGGGCAACCAAGGCAGATTCAGTGCCATACCTGGGTCTGAAGCCGGACTGAAATTGGTCCAGATAATCAGTTTCATCCAAGAGTGCTTGGAGTTGTCCCGCCACCACCTGCTCTAGCACCTTGCCCAGGAAAGGGATGTTGGCCACCGGTCTATAATTGGCAGCCACCTCTGGATCTAGGGATGCCTTCTTTAGGACTGGCTGGACTACCGCCTCCTTTAAAGGGGCAGGTACCCGGCTGTCTCTTAAAGAGGCGTTGACCACCTCCAGGATCCAGGTCCTAATCCCATCCTTGGCTTTCTCAAGTAGCCAGGATGGGCATGGGGCTAGTAAGCAAGTGGTAGGACGTACTCGTCCAAGCACCTTGTCCACATCATCAGGCCACAACAACTGAAATTCATCCATTAATTGTGGACTTGACGGCATCGATGGCGTCTCCCCAGTAGAATCTGATTCAATAGCAGAGTCAAGCTCGTGGCGAATCTGAGCGATTTTCTCCCGGAAATGCTTGGCAAAGTCATGACAGCGGGCCTTCGAGGGTGGCACAAGATCCTTCTTCGGGCCCGGATGTATCAGCCCCTGCACCACCCAAAAAAGCTCCGCCGGATGGCATTGTGAGGAGGCAATGGAAATGGAGAAGAATTTCTTCTTCGCCATCCTCACCGCCACAGCATAGGCCCGATAATGGGCTCTTAAGTGTGTTCGGTCAGAATCACCCCTTGATCTCCTCCACCTACGCTCTAGCCATCTCCCAACCTGCTTTATTGCCCGTAATTCAGGTATATACCAAGGAGATGAATGGGCTCTGCCAGGTGGGAGAGGATGCTTGGGAGCGATCGTGTCAATTTCCCTGGTCATCTCCTCATTCCACAGTTCAACCAGGGCATTGACAGGATCACCAGCCTTGTCAACCGGAAAATCCCCCAGAGCTTCCAGGAATTCATCAGGATCCATCCGGCTCCGGGGACAGACCAATACAATCGGGTCTGCACCCCTGCAGAGGGAAAGGCTGCTCTCGAGCTCAAACCTTATGAGGAAGAGATCTGACCATGACAAGGGTGTCAAGCTTAAATTCCTAACCCTCAGATCATCCTCTTCCTGCCCCGTCGAGAAAACCAGGTCCAGAGTGTGTCCACATTCATGGGTCGGGCCAATGACGTGTTGAGACAGCCCCATGGCTGCCATGGAGGCCATAAGGTCCTGAGCCGCCCCAGTTAGAACCGTCTCGGCATGGAGATTGAAGTCCCCCAGGACCAACAGCCTGGGAGTCTTCAACACCAGGTCCAAGACTATCTCCGTCAGCTCAGGCAAGGAGTCTGTTGGGCAGAAGGGTGCACGGTACACCAGCAGAATCCCCAATCTGTCTTGGTCGCCCAACACCAAGTGGAGGCACTCCAGCCCCGGCCTCAAGAGGACAGGGAGCCCCACAAGGGAAACAGAAGCTTGATAAACCAGAGCGACCCACCCCTCCTCTCCCCTCCAGGCATGCTTGCTGCTGGACCAGGTACCCGGGCGGGCACAGTTGTGAGAGGGAAACATCCCCCCCCCTCACCCACCCAGGTCTCTGTGATGCATGCCAGGTCGGCCCTCTCATCCATGATCAAATCATGAGTGTTGCCTTATTTTGGACCGACCTGGCATTAAGCAGCAGGACCGACAGGCCTGGCATTAAGCAGCATTAGGCAGCAGCACCGACAGGCCTGGAGGGCAGTTGACAAGTCTACCTGGAACCCGCCGGCTGGGGAAATAATCAGAATAACCAGAAAATAACCAGAAAACCAGAATGTAGAGGAAGACAGGTTCAAATGTCACACCTGTGAAGTCTAACTTAGCACAAAGCGTAGCTGTAAGAATTAGGAAATAAGTGTGTGTGTTCAAGGTGGGGGTATATACACTTATAACAAATACATGCTCTGTGGAGTGAAGGATGCAAAGGCTGGTGTAGCTCTCAAGACTTACTGAGTGTCACCTTGACGAATCATATCACAAATCTGCAGGATGGACTCCCAGTCTGTCTCCAGAAGAAGCTGACTGGTAGCTTTATCTGAAAGATATTGAAACAACTATTAGTCTTTCAAGTCAAATGCTGAAATGGTATTTGTTGTGGAAAAACCTGGGAATCAGCTGGACCAAAGGTTTCTTTTGACTGATAGTGATCTTTTTGTTGATAATTACTGCAAATTGAAAACTTCAAGCTATTTCTCACAGTTATCTACTGTATGTTGTTTCCAAGTGCTGGCTGTTTACAAAGACCTTTTGTAACCTCTGTGACATACAGAACAAATACAATGTCAAGAGTTACCCTAACCATAACATTTGTTTTCTGACTTGTACCATCCCTGCTACCCAGAAGCTCTCTGCTACCTTAAACAAATCTACTTTTTCTCCCTTAGCACTCCTGATGGTTTAAACTTCCACCAGGACATCCAGGAAACCTCATCACTTGCAACATTTAGACTGCAGTCTCCTCAGGGCAAGAAGCCTTCCTTTTTTTGGCCACCTGTCTCCTTCCCTCCAACCCTCTCCTGTCAAACTGCTTCTGGAATAATCTTGTCTGACATCAAGAATAAAAGTTAATAGTTATTTACAATAGCTTTTTGTGCATGCTTGCTCTTTTCTAGCTTAATCATGCCTTATATTGTAAATTTCTTGAGGCAATTATCATTCTTGAGAGTTGTCATTTTGGCTTAAATTGTTTTAAAAACCCAAAATAATAGATAGTAGTATATAAGTAATAACAACGAAGCTCACTGTCCATTAACAGTGCTGTGTGCCCCACCCTGCAGCCAACACCAAGTATCTTGCTTTCAAGTAATGTATCGCATGATAAAGTTCAGAGCTTTTTCCCAAGTGGCACTCACCCTATTGCATGAACACGTTCTCTTTTTGACTCACAATTACTGTATTTGTCACTGCCTTGTCACTTCCTGGTAGTTAATTACCTTGCAGAACCAGATTTGAGTACAACAGTGAGGTCAGCAGGACTGTGAAACCACAGTATGGTACTGCCTGACAAATATACATTACTTTTTAATATATGTTATTTTTTCCTAGCACCCAAAATAGGCCAAACAAGTTTGGTTCAATACCACAGAACTGATTCAATGCTTAGCCCTTCTTTTATCAATGATCAAATCAAAAATGAAAAATTGATCGTGTTTACATAGCAGTGGTTTTTCTTTGTTTTAATGCCAGTTTGGGAGATCAAAGGAAGTAATGGAAACAACATTGTCATTACAGGTTTACACACAAACTGGCAGATAAGATCAGTGAGTATCCGCTGGCAGGCGGCCCAGCTGATGTCTTTGTGCTGGAAACTCCAACCCAGTGGCGTGCGGGTGGCAACAAGTGAATTTTGTGAAAAGCTATCGAACAGTTAAAATACGGGCCAGAGATAGGTAGAAATAAATAAAACAGCATTCAAAAACGTAGTAAGATTTAAGGCATAACAGAAGCAGGCAGCTAGCAAAAGACCTGACACACAGGAGTTGCGGGGTGAGGGCTTTTGCGATATGCGCAGCATCAGGGAGGGCGATTTGAGCCCCCCAGGGGGATACTGAAGTAAAAGACTCAGTGGGGTCGATCCACGGGCTCCCTTCCCCTCACGGTACCTAGAAGCCGCTCGAAGGTGCCGCCGCCTCGCCCCATCGCGCTGCTCGCTCAGCTCAGACAGCACCAACCACCGACGCTGTTCTGCCTGCGACCCGTTCCCTCAGCCTAGGCCCCGCTTCCGGCTTCCGCTCTGCGCGGGGGCGGGTTTCCGGCAGTGAACATTGAGGATTGGTCAGCGTGTAACCGCAGCGATCCATCGTTCCGCCGCCCTAGGCCAATGAATGCTGGCGCAGTGGCGGCGGAGCGAACTGTTGCCCCCGGTTACCGTGGCGATGGCCAGCGGCGGAGGGTCCATGTACCTGCTTCTGGGGGGTTCTGGCGTGGGCAAGACGCTGCTGGTCAAGCGACTGCAGAATATCCCAAATATCACCGCAGGGGGTGGGGAGGGGGGCTTGAAGCCGGGGGGGGGGGCTTGGAGTGACTGACAGGTGGGGAGGAAGACGGACTAGTCGAGAAGTGTCTGGTAGTGCACGGAACGGAAGTAAGGAGTCCTTAGGGTTGGACTGGACAGGGCACGTCCGCTGGTAGCCCTCCTACCGTTGACCTACCGTTCCCATCAGCTCTAAGTAGCATAGCATAGCATAGCAAATGGTGATTGATATTGGGAGTTGTAGGCCAAACCTTCTGGAGAGCGGTACGTTGCTCAGTTCTGCTTGACAGGTAGGCAAGCCTCGTTTCCTTTGGACGTTTTGGACTACAGCTTCCTTAAGTGCCAGCTAGAAGGGCCAGACATCAGGGATGTGGCAATCACAGTGCAACACATCAGGAGGACAACTAAGCCAGGGGTGGGCCACATGCCATGGCTATTTGAGGAATGGTTTGTCTTTCTTGCTAGTACTTAATGCTTGACAATACCACTGGCAATAGGGCACAAGGAGGGCCACAGAAGGAGTGGCATCTAGGTTCAGTGGTACATAAGTTTATGGCATGGACCCTACCAAATTCTCCGCTTCCAGGTGCAGAGGGGCTTCCTTGGGTACCTGGCCCTGCTGTGATATACCCACTATCTATTATTGAATGGCACTCATCCTACCCATTTCTTTCCCACCACTTTCCTTAACATTCTTTCTTGCACAGCTGAGCTCCAAGGATGGTGCCAAAGACCTTGGGGAGCCTCCATCCACATTACCCACGGTATGACTTTTTTGTCCTTGGGTTAGTGGTTCTGTCTGAGTGACTGCAGCTCAGTGGCAGAGAACTTGGCTTGCACAAATAAGGCCTCAGATTTATTTCAGAAGATTTCCAGTGAAAAGGTTCTTGGTGAAAGGGCCCTTGCAAAGATCTTGGAGAATGGTCATCAGTCAGAGTAGATGATAGCGCCCCAAGAGTCTGACTTAATATAAACAAACTGTTTCTTATGTACTCCTGCAGGATGTCATTTAGCCAGGCTAAGAGCCGCATACTGAGTTTCTCCTGACTAACTGGCAGTTGTGGGTAAATATCTGACAGAGACAAATTGTGGTTAAAAAGAAGGGCACAGATATAGTCACAATAGCTATGTTTTAGATAACTTTGATTTAATTACTAATCATAAATGAACTTTATTGCAGACTTGCTTTTTTCAGGGTAGTTTTTGCTTGTACACTAGAGGCCAAATGGTGGCTCTTGGAGATGTATTGTTCTGTCTCTCTTAAGCTGCTGTGATTGCCTGCCATTACAACTTGAAACACACAAGTCACACTTTCTTTAGTATGTCTGTGGCTCATGTGGTGCATTTGTTTAAAGGTTTTGTCTAGTTTCCTCCGACCTCAGGGGGTTCCAACTCAATCTGAGGCCCTGGAATTCTCCTCACGGTGCTGCCGTGAGGAGCCCATCTGGAAAAAAGGCATGTCTAGCCCTTGTTCTTTGAATTGAGCAGCATTGGGGAGGATGTCTGCAGAAAGCTTTAGAGAGCCAGTGCCATTCAGAATACAATACTGAGCTAGATAGACCAATTGATAGAATAGTATTACCCAAATGGGATTTACTTCAAACAAGCATGCATAGAATTATGACATCAGTGCAAGAGAGATTTATAATATATGATATGCTGAACTTCTTTAAACTATCTCCTGCTTGTCAGATTATTCTGGAAAAGCTCACAGTCAGGTTCTACAGTCCTGCCCAGATTGGATTCATGCTTGCCTTATCTGTGCCGTACTGTGGACAACATCTCAGTTACTCACCAGTGTAGCAGTCTAATCCATTGCTATTTCATTGTAGGTAGGCACAAACCTTACAGACCTTTTGATAGGAAAGAAGATCACAGTTCGGGAATTGGGGGGATGCATGGGCCCCATCTGGTCCAGTTACTACAGTGACTGCTGCTGTGTCCTGGTGAGTGACCCATTTGTATGCTGTAATTTAGTGTATTATAGGGCAGGGTAACTTTTTTCACTCCAGTCCCTGGAACTGTTTGTCCCCTCATACTTACTGCAGCAAAGCACAAAATTCCACAAACATATTTAATTGTTCAGAATCCTTAAACACAACAGAATATTCTGCACTAAGTTGGGTAGGTTTTAACACTTCCCCTTTCATTTAGGATGCTATTATGTAATCCACTTGGAGTCCTTTGGGCTAATTAACATAGAATATACTATGCTTCTATTGCTTAAAAAATCACATTTCAAGAAAAGTGTGCTCTTATCCCAGGGAATAACCAGATGTATGTTGGCTGGAGCACCTTCATTTGTGCATATGTTCTGTCTTTTCTGGGTATCTCTTTACTGGAAAGTGGGCACTTGGGCAGTAAGCACCTCGTTTTTGTTATGTGAGCTATCACTCTGTCTCTTTCCTGCAGTATATGATTGATGCTGCCAAGCCTACTCAGATTTCTTCATCTTGCGTCCAACTTTTGTCACTCCTTTCTGCTGAAGAGCTCATGTCAGCTCCTGTCCTCATCATTTTCAACAAGATGTAAGAAATGTATAACTTGAATTGATACAGGCGGGATCAGATTCAAGCAGGGGGTACTTGAAACGTTTTGGTGAATAACTGTAGACAAATCAGTCCCTCGAACAGAGGAAGAACTACTTCACAAGATTCCACCGTAGGGCCTCTTTTGGAAATGGTTCAGCAGACAAATGGGAATGTATAACTATTTGCTCTGTCTACCCTGACTTTAGTGATCTGCCCTGCTACATGTCCCTGGTGGAGATGAAGTCGTTATTTCGAATCCAGGATATCATTGCCTGTGCCAAACAACCCATCACTGTTGTGGAGACGAGTGCTCGTGATGGCACTGGATTATCCAATGTGATGCAGTGGTTTCATTCTACTCTGCATGATTAATGCTCACCCCTCTCAGAAGCTGGAGATGTCTCTTAAATTACATACCTTTATTAGAGAAGGAAGAGAGGAAAAACAGGCAACAGTTTCCAAGGTACTGAATTAGAATGCATCAGCAAGCAGAACTGACTGTCTTCTGGAGGCAGTGGGAGCAACATTGCTGCCATGGATTTTGATGTCATTTGAACTTGAAAGTAAATATTTTTGTATTTGGGTCATTCAGTATTTTATGTTTTCTATCTTGTGTCTTGGGATGTTACTGGGACACTGTGTGAGAGGTTTTGGGACTGTATAGTAGTCACTTTTTGTTTCGGACTTGTCTGCACAGAAGGCCGGAAGTTCACAGCAGTGTCCTAAACAGGAAGTTTAAAAGTTTGACCTGGGAGTTTGCTAATTAAGGAGAAATGGAAACATTGGCAGAATTGAAGCTGGTTGACTAAACAGTTAGGAGTATGTATTATAAAAATACTGTTTATAAGTAAAGCAGGAAAATATAATCAAGGAAACAAAGTTACACAAAAAGGAAAGAGAGAAATAAAGAAAATTGACTTTGGAATCATGTAAGAAAAAGGGCTGAAACCTGGACAGCCAGGATGGAAGCCTTTAGCGAAGAAGCTGAATTAAAAAGGCTGCAAGCCTCTCTGATTATAAGTCATTCCTGAGAATAAGTCTGCTTGTATATATGGATAACCTTCCCAGTTGCAAGTGTTTATCTAAAACCACTTAAAACTTTAGAAGCAAAATTGGTTCAGAAAGATGGTCTGCAGCCTTGTTTTTCACCCTATGTCTAATTGCCATACCACTTTCCCCAGAACAGGGGGTGCTTCCTAGTATTAGCATTACATACATCATTTTCTCCTTAATTGGTTTTCTGCAGTAAGAAAAAAGGTAGAAGCAGCAGTGAGAAAACATGAGAGCCTACAAGTGGAAGCAAATGATGTTTGGGCTTCCCACAAAATTCTGTGAATGAAGCAGGGGGATGTGAGGATAGATGCTTCATCTGGAAAGAGAACTGGTTGTATGTGTAATTTAATTCCAGAAGTTTAACAGCTATTTATTGGAGGCAGGATTATCCTATTGGGGGCAGCAGTGAGCCATGAGTAGCAGCTGAGTCAGCTCATCACAATCCGTGAAACTGGTCCCTGCTGCCTTTACGTTTCTCTACGCACGTACATTCAGCAAACATTTGAACCAGAAAGGTAATAAATACCACAAAAACTCAAGGAGATCTTTGATTATTACAAATTCAGCTGATATACTTTAAATAAAGTGTCCAGTTATTTGACAGATTGTCCAGATTTCTGGAACTTTTCACAAGCTTTTCTTCACTTTAAAAAGTGCAGATAAACAGTTGGCAACCTTGCAGACATATAGTAGACTATGGGATATGCCTATCAGGGAAGTGGCAAACAGTTATACAGATTATAGAGTAGGGTAGAGTGTACAACTTCCAAACATTGTAGATCCCCAGATCTTGCATTCTAAACAAATTAATGGGTGCCATATACTGCATGGCATGTGAAAATTGGTATGAGGTGATACACGCAGTAGAGTTAGCAAATTCATCATCCCAGTCCCATAAATAAGAATAGCCTGCCTTGGTTGTATTCACCAGTACTACATGACATAGTAAACGTCTGATATTTCTTTTATGGAATGGTGTTATGTATTGAACTACAATTATGTTCAGAGGTATGAGTTAAAATGCACAGTGGATGCTTCCAGAGAGGTACTGTGTACTTAAGGGTTTTTTTTCTCTCATGAGAAAAAAGATGGAGCAGGGTTGGGAAAGTACAGGAAGGTTACAAATGGAAGACATCACTGGTTAGACAACTTGCAAATTCTGTGAATGGGGCAGTTCCTTTGCATAATAAAAGCCTCATTTGGAAGTACCAAGAGACCCCCATGTTAGACTACAGACTGTTGTGATCTTCGATATCTTCACAAGAATTTTACCAACAGCAATAAGCATTCACTATCATCTTCCTGTTACCAACAGAAGAAATTAAAAACTGAATTGATTTTAACTGCATTAGGCCACAATGTCTCTTGTAAAAAGAAGTCTTGTCCCTCGTAAGAAAGAAGTCCTGCCACCAAATCACTTCCAAGTTCAAACAGTATGGTTCTTTTAAAAATCAACAACTTCAGTATCATTCAAGTACATTAGGTATTCCTTGATCCAGAGCAAGTTTGCTGAATTTGCTGGCACATGCTAAGAATGCGAGTCCCTAGAGGGTGGATGAGATCGCTGTGAAATCATCCCAACAGGAAGCAGCCTGAAGGCAGACAATGAAGACTGTCTCTCTCAGCAACATGTGACAATTTCTTCAGTCATTCTTGGTGAGCTCATATATATTCTCCATCTTCCAAGAAGCACATCAGGCAGAGAAGAAGAGTTCAGCTTGTACATTCACTGATGAACTGCTGGCCTGAAAGTGAAATGTGACCAGTTACTGTTTTTAGAGATCTACTAATATTGTTACAGTCAGGATAATGGTCCTGACACCTAATTTTGTCACACCCCAACAAATCTGTTACTGCTTCTTTTATGTTCCTAATTTCCCAAAATACATTCAGGAAATGGACAAACTAAAGATTTCCAATATCCAGTGGCAAACTAGATGTAACGGTGTCAAAATCCTGTGCTATGATACAGACCATTCCATATTCCTTTTAAGCAGGAAGATGCTTTAAGATGAAGCATGGGTGCAAACAAAGGAGCTGAACCTTTCACCCATCTCCCAAATATTTCTCTCCCAGCCACCTCCCCCTGGGCTACTTCTGGCCCTGGAAACCTATTGGGAGAAAAAAAATATTGCTTGTGCTAACAATATTTCAGCACCTCCTCCCTACCCCACGTCTTTGGAATCTGGTGGCAGTCTGATTCTAACATACTAATCTGCCACCATCCTGCCTAGTTTTCTCCCCACTCAATCACACAGTTTGCTTCCATCACGATGGTTTTCCAAGAAAAGGCCTTTCATAAAGGAAGTAGGGCAGCCCTTCAGCTTCTCTCTCTCTTTCTCTGTCTATTAGGGTAGTGGGAAAGTAAACAGAGAGACTTGCAACACAGCTTGCAAGAACACTGGGCAGAGCTTACAAGAGAAGCTGGCAGGTCAGATGGAAAATGCCCAAGGACTATCGGATCCCTACCCCTTTAATCCATTTACTGCACACTTCCATCCCCTCCTCTGCTCAGCACTATCATTTACAGAGGACTTGGATACACAGATCTCAGCTTTACCTCATCTTCACCTGCTCTGCTTTCATTTCTCATATATAGTATGAAGCTTCTGAATGAGGAACCTCTTGTCTTCTCCTTCCTGGAACACCAGAGATATTTAAGATGAGCAGCAAGAAAAGTGATTTTCTTTAAAGAACAAGCACTAGAGACATTCAGAACGCTCTGAAGCAAATATGATTTGTGACCACATGGCTTTTCTCTGGTTGCTGAGAGAGTCTACTGCAAGTGCTCATTTTACCACTACTGACACGCCTCTCCACTGCAGCTGGCAGGAAGTGTGTGGAGAAGAAAAGGGCTTAAGTTACCAGAACTCAGTATGGGAGGCCAAGTGCATTGCACACAGGTGTTTGCACGCATCCCCTTCTGCTAGTAGAAACTGGGCCAGGAAGTGTGCCTCCACTGCAGTGCTGCTCCCATGCACAGAGTGTTTTGTTTCATCATAGAAGGGAGTGGCTGCCCTCTAGACACCCATTTACTCTGGTCCCAATAAAACACAAAGGTTGAAGGCTTGTTTTTCAATGGCTCTCCCTATCTGCACCTGCTTTGACAGTGCAGGAAGATTATCTCTTTCATCCTAAGAATTTCACTCCTCGGCCCCCGAAAAATTATCCATCTGCCCCCATTCCCATCAACACTCACATTGTCAATCTGTTCCTTCAGTAGGGAAATGATTCTCCTCTGACCATTCACCACCTGAACATTGAGGTAGATTGCAGCTCTGCAAATCAGGACAGCAGGAACATTAAGATGATGAGGAGCTGAGCAACAACAGCTAAGAAGAATTAGGTGCAGGCGAAAGATGCTTAATGGACTGCTAACAGAAGGAATGGTTCACAGACAGGGAAGAGAAAAATACCACATTCATGCAGAGGCAGCAGCAGGAGTCAGACATTTCAGAGGCCTAAAACATTCTTTGCAAGAAGCACTTTGGTACCTCAGCCACCCTGAGCTATAACAAGTAGATTCATAAAAGCATTATCTTCCCAGATGCAGAACATGCCCAGGTTACCATATCTGTGATTACTTTGCAGAACAGTGAATTTGTCTTTGCGGAACAGCCTGTGGCAGCCTTGCTCAAATGTATTATACTTCAGCTCTCAATGGCCCCAGGCAGTATGGCCACTGGTCAGGAACGTTGGGAGCTGCAGTCTAAAGCATCTGGGTGGCATCAAGTAGGTGAAGCTGGCCTATGGCATCAGCACTCCAGAAGAAAAGCTTAAAATATGCAAGCCTATTTGCAAGTAATAGTTTCTGCATCAATAATTAAAAACTTACTTTAGAAAGTTCCATTATTGACATCTTAAGAGTGCCTCCAGCCTGCTTAAGGAGCTGTCTAGCAGCAGAAACTATCTGCCACTTGTATAGAACAGCCCTGAACATTTGTGAGTGCTGAGCCAGGCTCAGAGCATGCCACACAATCGGCCTTATCTTTCTGTGGTGGGCCTGCAGGTAGGGTTTTCCTTGTACCATCACCTTGCCTCCTTCACAGAAAAGGGGTTCAGGCAGCACTCTTCACTCATAACCCCTGTGTTTTCCCACGGCTTCTTTCAAGTATTCCTTACTACAGGAAATCCATTAAGAAAGGAGAGACAGAATAACTGCATAATGACTTCTAACTGTGTCACCAAGACTTCTGTGTCTGGAAGCCATGGCAGGTCCAGGTATATTTCATATCGGACAAACACAGTATTTGTCAAACTGCTCTGGAAATGGCCGGCAGGAGGAAGAGAAGGAAGCTCCTGGGTTTCATGGGCTTAGATAAATAATGGAATCCTTTAAACTTACAGCAAAATTCCAGCAATTAAAAACAGGAAGAAGGAATTTTGGATGAGATGCTGGTGGATCCAGGTAAACCAGGAGAGGTTTGGGTTGGATTGCTCCAGCTGTACAATCCACGTCTTCCCAGAATCATAGATGGTCTCATGAGTTTGGAAGGGTCCACATGTCTCTGATGGTTTCACTCTGGATGGACAAAGAGCAGCTGAGCATCAAAGAGCTAGTTAAAAGATAGCATGACTGTATTCATGTCGTCTATTGATCTAGCCCTCTTTTCACAACCAAATGGCAAAGAAGTATACAGCATAAACACATGTCCATTCCCAAATTTGAGAGTGATGGCCACTGCTTTATATAATCAAAATGACATCACATATGCCTAAGAGGGAGGCATCAGGAGGCTTGCAGGAAACCCAAGATTTGCAGAAGTACAAAAGATCTTTAGGAAAGAAATCCATAAGTGTGGGGGAGGGGATCCCTTCAAATAGCCTCCTGAGGATTAGTTAGCTCAGGGAGCCCACTGCTGGCTGATGGTTGGAAAGGAGAGGGAGGAATGAAAATACAGGTGGGGGAGGGCAGTGAAATGGAATGTCTTGGGGGAAGACAAGGCTGACGAACTGAAACAGTGAACAAGACACCTATCCTACAATATTTTGCTGAGTGTCCCATCGGTATTTAAAGTAGATTGTGCACCTATTTGCATATTGAACAGCTTGTACTAGCAGATACCCGCTTTCAACCTTTCCTTTAATATTCCAGTTAAGAAATTCCTTAAGGTTTTTAGCAATATATGAAAGATGCTGCATGTGAGACTATGTGCAAATCTGGTGCCATTTGGTAAGTTTGGCAGCGGGGGTGCGGGGGGTGGCAATCCCTTAGCAATGCCTACTCCAGTATGGAAAGCAGCTTCCAGCCCTGTAAACAGGATATGGGGGGGGGGGGGGGGGGGGGG